TCACTCAGATAATCTTACTGCCTACAACATACTACATTTGGCTTTCAAAAGGTGGTCTGGACCCCCCAGATTCCCCCTCAGGATCCGCCTATGGGATGCACATGACTATAAAGAGAAATATTTTTGTTTTGTTTTTGAGATAAGACCGCAGTAGAGTGACTCCTTTGAGAGGCATTTAGAAGTTGGAGTATATGGATGAACAACTTCTTTATTACAATTAGGAGCGACGTTTCAGTGCAGATTTTAACACCTTTATCAAGCAAGTTGATAATTAATTAGATTTTCATTCATATTTTTTTTTTGAATGTCAGGAGGTGAAAGGAATTAAATTTTTCCTATTTATTTCTAGCACACTGTTCAAGTCATCTGTGTACCTGACAAAAATGAAAGTCAAACAATAAATCTGTGGCTGGGTAATTTTGTGTAAAAACATTTTGGTTCAGTAAAGACTGGGGTAAGAAATGAGTTTTCACCCACCTACCATGTTTGAAATGTATTGTTTGTGCTGAAAAAAGCAAATTCATTGATTTTCAAAGATACTGACTGACTGACTGAGTGTGGTTTTACGCTGCTTTTAGCAATATTCCAGCAATATCACGGCAGGGGACACCAGATATTGGGTTTCACACATTGTAACCATGTCGGGAATCGAACCCGGGTCTTCGGCGTGACGAGCGAACGCTTTAACCACTAGGCTACCCGACCGCCCCTTTTCGAAAGATAAGATGTCTAAGATACCAATCAACAGTTATGTATGTGAAGCAAATTGTATTTTATTTTTAAAAATATTAATACAAATTATGTCACAAAAAATACAGCCATATAAACAATTCTTTGAGTGCTGACTTAAAGTGCCACTTATATATAACAGTTCATTTTTAGAATATAATATCGCTAACTTGATAAATTTTCAACTGAAAATCAAACATCTGATAAAATCAACAGATAGGTATTGTTTCCTTTGCTCCTCAGTTTATCTTGTATTGTATGTCATTTCCCTCTTGTCTCCTAAGTACCGTGTGTAGTATGGACAGCTACCCCCTCAAAACCCCACCCCGGACCACTCCCGCCCACGAAGGGGGATATAGGAATGGGTGCTGTCAATCTGTCTGTTCATCTTTCCATTCATCCGGTCAGTCAAGAGATTTGTTGCTCAAACATCGTTCAATATTTCTTAACCAAATTGTGCAGTGTAATCATGAACTGGTGCCTTTTGCTGTTTAGAAATTTTTTAAATTTGTATATATTTCTGTTTCCATGACAACAAATTCCAATCAATGAAGGCTTCACTTCCAGAGCATAAGTCCTGAACCAATTGTATTTCCTCACTTATCAATTATGTAGTCAACTTTCATGTTTTTAAATTTTTTTTGTCTTATGTATTTTTTCAAAACAAATGGAAAACCTGAGTGTATCTGATAGCCACCGTGAACTTCCTCCTGTGATCCTGTGACAGTGGCACCACCCTACTCACAGAGATGGCTAGAGGTCAGAGTCACCTGGCAGTGTGTTAGTCAGGTTTTGGTTTAATGTCAGTGACAGTGGCACCACCCTACTCACAGAGATGGCTAGAGGTCCGAGTCACCTGGCAGTGTGTTAGTCAGGTTTTGGTTTAATGTCACTGACAGTGGCACCACCCTACTCACAGAGATGGCTAGAGGTCCGAGTCACCTGGCAGTGTGTTAGTCAGGTTTTGGTTTAATGTCACTGACAGTGGCACCACCCTACTCACAGAGATGGCTAGAGGTCCCAGTCACCTGGCAGTGTGTTAGTCAGGTTTTGGTTTAATGTCAGTGACCTTGTGGTCAAGGGTTGGTTGGTTGGTTGGTTTGTTGTTTAACGCCGCACTCAGCAATATTCCAGCTATATGACGGCGGTCTGTAAATAATTGAGTCTGGACTAGAGGAACCAGTGATTAATATCATGAGCATCGATCCACGCAATTGGGATCGATGACATGTATCAACCAAGTCAGCGAGTCTGACCACCCAATCCCATTAATACAATTTCCTGTTGAATGTGTGAGAGAGATGGTACAAGTTCCTGTTGAATGTGTGAGAGAGATGGTACAAGTTCTTGTTGAATGTGTGAGAGAGATGGTACAAGTTCCTGTTGACTGTGTGAGAGAGATGGTACAAGTTCCTGTTGAATGTGTGAGAGAGATGGTACAAGTTCCTGTTGAATGTGTGAGAGGGATGGTACAAGTTCCTGCTGAATGTGTGAGAGAGATGGTACAAGTTCCTGTTGAATGTGTAAGAGAGATGGTACAAGTTCCTGTTGAATGTGTAAGAGAGATGGTACAAGTTCCTGTTGAATGTGTGAGAGAGATGGTACAAGTTCCTGCTGAATGTGTGAGAGAGATGGTACAAGTTCCTGTTGAATGTGTGAGAGAGATGGTACAAGTTCCTGTTGAATGTGTAAGAGAGATGGTACAAGTTCCTGTTGAATGTGTGAGAGAGATGGTACAAGTTCCTGCTGAATGTGTTAGAGAGATGGTACAAGTTCCTGCTGAATGTGTGAGAGGGATGATACAAGTTCCTGTTGAATGTGTGAGAGAGATGATACAAGTTCCTGTTGAATGTGTGAGAGGGATGGTACAAGTTCCTGTTGAATGTTTAAGAGAGATAGTACAAGTTCCTGTTGAATGTGTGAGAGAGATGGTACAAGCTCCTGTTGAATGTGTGAGGGGGATGGTACAAGTTCCTGCTGAATGTGTGAGAGAGATGGTGCAAGTTCCTGCTGAATGTGTGAAAGGGATGGTACAAGTTCCTGTTGAATGTGTGAGAGAGATGGTACAAGTTCCTGTTGAATGTGTGAGAGAGATAGTACAAGTTCCTGTTGAATGTGTGAGAGAGATGGTACAAGTTCCTGTTGAATGTGTAAGAGAGATGGTACAAGTTCCTGTTGAATGTGTGAGAGAGATGGTACAAGTTCCTGCTGAATGTGTTAGAGAGATGGTACAAGTTCCTGTTGAATGTGTAAGAGAGATGGTACAAGTTCCTGTTGAATGTGTGAGAGAGATGGTACAAGTTCCTGCTGAATGTGTGAGAGAGATGGTACAAGTTCCTGCTGAATGTGTGAGAGAGATGATACAAGTTCCTGTTGAATGTGTGAGAGAGATGGTACAAGTTCCTGCTGAATGTGTGAGAGGGATGATACAAGTTCCTGTTAAATGTGTGAGAGGGATGGTACAAGTTCCTGTTGGATGTGTAAGAGAGATGGTACAAGTTCCTGTTGAATGTGTGAGAGAGATGGTACAAGCTCCTGTTGAATGTGTGAGAGGGATGGTACAAGTTCCTGCTGAATGTGTGAGAGAGATGGTACAAGTTCCTGCTGAATGTGTGAAAGGGATGGTACAAGTTCCTGTTGAATGTGTGAGAGAGATGGTACAAGTTCCAGTTGAATGTGTGAGAAAGATAGTACAAGTTCCTGTTGAATGTGTGAGAGAGATGGTACAAGTTCCTGTTAAATGTGTGAGAGGGATGGTACAAGTTCCTGTTGAATGTGTGAGAGAGAAGGTACAAGTTCCTGTTGAATGTGTGAGAGAGATGGTACAAGCTCCTGTTGATTGTGTCAGAAGGATGGTACAAGTTCCTGCTGAATGTGTGAGAGAGAAGGTACAAGTTCCTGTTAAATGTGTGAGAGAGATGGTACAAGTTCCTGTTGAATGTGAGAGAGAGAAGGTACAAGTTCCTGTTGATTGTGTCAGAAGGATGGTACAAGTTCCTGTTGAATGTGTGAGAGAGAAGGTACAAGTTCCTGTTAAATGTGTGAGAGAGATGGTACAAGTTCCTGTTGAATGTGAGAGAGAGATGGTACAAGTTCCTGTTGATTGTGTAAGAGAGATGGTACAAGTTCCTGTTGAATGTGTGAGAGAGAAGGTACAAGTTCCTGTTGAATGTGTGAGAGAGATGGTACAAGTTCCAGTTGAATGTGAGAGAGAGAAGGTACAAGTTCCTGCTGATTGTGTCAGAAGGATGGTACAAGTTCCTGCTGAACATGTCAGAAGGATGCTTTCCAGCTGTGACCTCCAGGTGGCTGACAGACAGCAGCTGTCTTGTCAATAGTTTCCTTTAAAAAACTACCCTTGATGTTTGAGTAGAAGAATTTAACCTTTTTCCAAGTGGGTGATATTCCTGCCTCGTCTGTTTCTCCCCTCTCTGCACCCTGTACACGCACATTGTGCACATCGTCAGTACCTTGTCAGGGAAGGACGTTTTTGGTTTCACCATGTGGTTCAACGCATAATGGAGTTTTTCTGTTAGTGTCATATCACTGCTTGAGCTTTCAGACTAAATAATTTTTTCACTTTGTCAGTAAAAATATGACGCAAAACATCTTTTTGTGGCATCTTTAGATTGCCTTTTTGTTTGAAATGTTATTTTAAGATATTATTTTTATGGAAATTACTTTCAAATCATCCCAGCTTGGTGGTACTAAATTGAAAACAAGGAGTTCTTTCAGTGAGTGAGTGAATGAGTGAGTGGGTTGGTGAGGGAGTGAGTGAGTAGGGTGTTGGGTGGGAGTAGTGTGATTGGGACCAATATTATATATCGCGATGTTATTCTTAAGTACAACAGAGAGTCATACGACTCTTGCTCAGAAGTTGTTTGATCAAGGTTACAACATTCAAGACCTCAGTAAAGTTTTCAAAATGTTTTGTGGTAGGCATGTGGAGGACATTTCCAAATATGACGCATCAGTGACAAAAGTATGTCTGATGCAATTCCCTATTTTGCCTTGTACCATATGCTCCCGTGTTTTTTTCAGGTGAATAATTGACCTGCCTTTGCATGTATTTGTGACAAGTGCCACCGGTGGCAGGATACACTCACGTTTTCGCGAACACCTGGTATCATGACTATTTGATAGTGATTCACAAACACACCCTCATGATATAGTCTGATTCCTACTATCGACTCAGCTTTATGCATAGACTTCTATTGGACATGGAAAGGGTTTTGTCGCTTTATTTATTGACAATGTTTTCTGTGTTTCAGGGCTTGACTGTGCAGGTAAAACCACAATCCTGTACAAGCTGAAGCTGGATGAGCTGGTGACGACCATTCCTACAATAGGTAACACAACTTGTACCTTGTGATGTATTTCGGTCAATTCCCACTTTTCTATGTAACCTATGATAACCATTTAGTTGAGTTTGCCTGTCCAACTTTTGTAAGAAACCGAGCAATGACAGCACACCGAAGACCTGGGTTCGATTCCCCACATGGGTACAATGCGTGAAGCCGTGATATTGCGGGAATATTGCTAAAAGCGGCGTAAAACCATACTCACTCACTCAGTCACATGTGTGCACAGGTTATAAAAAAACTTTTGACAATGAAATCATTAACTGATGCATCAACCTGTTCAGTTTTGTGTCAAATACCCTATATGATGCAACATATGTGGTTCATATTTTTTATTATCTATTTTATGCATCACAAACAGCCAAGAGTGAATTTTTATTTTGCCAACCGACATCTTTGCATAAATCCTGGTAAAACTATCCTAACTCTCCCTTATCAAACTGAACACCGATTAAAAAGGAATGGATCAATTTGAAATTGGATCTTGTGTGAAACCTTATTTGTATTGTTGTAACAATTAGACTAGACTCTTCATTAGTAACATCAAATTGAGAAATTATTTAACCTGTTTAAAGAAAGTTAAATAATGCCTGTAAGAAAGTATATAAACTGAAAGGTCGTTACTTTGACACACACAATTAGAAGCCATGCATCAATAGTTTGAATACTTTATTCTTGGTTGTTTTTGACCATGTTTGAGTGTCAGTAAAAAGGTAAGGAATATTTTTGTGATTTCCGATTTAATATAGATTGTCTTTGTTTTAATAGGATTTATGTTCATTAAAATTGTTTAAATAATGTAAAGAATTTGATTTTGTTTTTATTTTGAATTTGCCAGATCTGCAAACCTCAAAATAATAAACGTGTGGTCTTATCAGATCCAAACATATTTTAGCCCACACATTCTCCATAGACACAGTCAGGCTTGTACCTGCAGATGAAGATATCAGCATTCCTCTCTCCCCAGGGATCTGAACATCTGATCACGTTACACTGGGTCACTGGGAGTCATAATTATCCTGAGTTCACATTGTGATAGGGGGGGGATTATGTTTCTAGGTTTGTCAGCACCATACCCATGCTTGTGGGTTTCACCGAAGTGGTAAACGTCTGAGACCCGCATCACTTCGGGCTTTCCTCCCACATTAAGCTGACACGCCATGATATAACTGGAATAATGTTAAAAGTGTCTTTAAACCCAACTCACTCACTCACTCACTCACTCACTCACTCACTCACTCACTCACCCAACACTCACTCACTCACTCACTCACTCACTCACTCACTCACTCACTCACTCACATATTTCTTCCTAGTCCTGAACCATGACTAAAATATATATTTTATGAAAACAAAACCAATCTAGATTTGTGTAGAAGCAAGTCCCGTCGGCTCTGTGAAACAGCATCAGGAGTGGTTGTTTGTTTTAGTGTAGAGGAGAGAAATGTATTGTATAGAAGATTTCACAGACTATATGTTACTCTCCCTTCCTTACTCCTTCCACATTCTGACAAGAGGTAAGGATTGTTGCCACGATAAATCTTAAATGAAAATTCTATTCTCGATATTAAAAGACATCGATATGCAGACCCAGAGGAGGGGCTAGAGGTGCATATGACCAACTCTAACTGGGGGATATCTTTGTAACCACTCAGGGCCAATGGGAATATTTGCTTTTCTGACTCTGGAACTAACTTACTGATTTATGGATATGGGTTATGATGTCATCATCGGAATGTAGCTGCACGTTCATAATTAAGGGAGATATGTCAATGTGCACAGTGTTAACCTTATCCATTTCCTACAAACGCCACCTGACATTTTTAAATTATGATTTTTGCTAACAGATGAACTTTTTTAAGAAAACATACAACTTTATAGACGACAACTTCTGGTTTATTGCATATAGTGACGTTTCGATGTAGATTCTCACACCGGTATCAAGCTGGATGTATGTGTTATCCATATGACAAAGTAGACACAAGTTATGGATAACAACTTCTTTAATTACTGTGAAGGTGACATTTCGGTATAGGTCTTTATATCGTTGTCAAGCAAGGCTGAATATTAAACATGGTACAGAATATATATAGTAGGTGCAGGTAATTAAAGTAACGAAAGAAGTTGTTATCCATAACTTGTGTCTACTTTGTCATCCGTTTACTTCTAGGTAATGCCTCTCAAACAACGTGTTATCCATATGTGTTGAAATATTTGAAAAAGGACAATACTGTTAGTGAGTGATTTCCGCTATGTGAAATGCTAATTTTGCACGGAGTCTGTGAGGTGTGCCCAGCGTAATACAGTGACCCCCGAAACACAGGGGTTATAGCGATCAGCATGTCCGTCTGTCATTGAAAAAGACAGAACATCTTTTTTTTTTCTTCACTTTACTTGACATATCCTATGGCAATGAACCAGTAGTGGGGTATCATTAGGCCTTTTCCGAATTGCACCAGACCTGCTACTCAGTCACATTTCCCCCTACGAAAACAATAACATATAAAATTAATATTTTCCATACATAATAATTGACAGTTTTCCCTAGGTTCAACATATGACATTGCCCGTGGGTCACATGGACCGTGTATTACCAAATACTTTCACTTTCCTTCTTCAGTTTGAATAACAACCCATATCTATTAATAACATGAAATAAATCTACTTAAAAGTATTGTAGTAGCCTTGCTGCAAGGCTGTACTGAATGATAAGTCCATGGATGTGCAGTAATTCTATCCTCCTGATAGGCAAGACTAGATGAGTGGACAGTAAGGATGGCAGCTTTTTATTTGGATAACTTCCTCTTCTTATTTATATAATCTAGAAAGTATTATGTAAACTAATAATTATTGCCTTAGAGACTGGTGCAAGTCTACAATTGTAGTTTCAACCATACTTAAAATTCTTGATATCAGTTCTATTCTAAACTGCGGTCCTATTATCCAACTGTTCCTTGTTTGTTAACCCTTTCACTGTACAGGAACCATTTGTCAGACAGATAACACCTTGTTAACCCTTTCTCTGCACAGAAACCGTTTGTCAGACAGGTAACACCTTGCTAACCCTTTCACTGCACAGAAACCGTTTGTCAGACAGATAACGCCTTGTTAACCCTTTCACTGCACAGGAACCATTTGTCAGACAGATAACACCTTGTTAACCCTTTCTCTGCACAGAAACCGTTTGTCAGACAGGTAACACCTTGCTAACCCTTTCACTGCACAGAAACCGTTTGTCAGACAGATAACGCCTTGTTAACCCTTTCACTGCACAGAAACCGTTTGTCAGACCGATAACGCCTTGTTAACCCTTTCTCTTCACAGAAACCGTTTGTCAGACAGATAACACCTTGTTAACCCTTTCTCTTCACAGAAACCGTTTGTCAGACAGATAACACCTTGTTAACCCTTTCTCTGCACAGGAACCGTTTGTCAGACAGATAACACCTTGTTAACCCTTTCTCTGCACAGGAACCGTTTGTCAGACAGATAACACCTTGTGTACAGGTGTTTCTGGAAGGCCACAAGTAATCCTTTTCTCAGCAGATCTTTTTTCCCAAATTGACTACTTGTAGACACCGAACATTTAATTGTTTCTTTAAGTGTTTGTTGAAGTTTCAGTATTCTTTTCAAAGAAGATTTTCAGTTTGTGATTATCGCCACTACTCTGTCAAGAACAAGTCTAAAGAAGATAAGGCTATAATTCAGTTTATTAGAAACAAGCTATTTGGCACAGACTGGATTTAGATATTTTATATTTGCAAATGAACATGTTATGTACTGAAGGACAAACTTATTCAGATATTTTAACTTTTAGAGTTTTTGTTCTGTTGTTCTTTAGCCAAGACTACCTGTTGCAAGTCATGTTTTGTTAAGTCACTGCTCTCTGCAATATTTGAGGTCTCTGGAATATTGCTAATGAGGCATAAAACAACACTCACTCACTCACTCACTCACTCACTCACTCACTCACTCTTCAGTGTGAACTTGTAAACCACAACTCTTTTGGGGTCAAGATAATAGCTCACTTTTATGATGATGTCAATCAGAGGATTGTCTGGTCCAGACTCAATTATTTACAGACCGCCATCATAGAGCTGGAATATTGCTGAGTGTGGCGTTAAACAACAAACAAACACTTTTATTGCTCATAAATGTTGATTAGCAATCAGCAATATCCCAGCTGTATCCCAGCAACTTGTAAATAACTGAGTCTGGAGCAATCAACAATAACCCCTGGCTTCACAGAGCCTGACCCCCTGAACACAGCTGAATGCCCCCGCCTCAGAAGGCTTGAAGATCAGATTTTAAGACTGCTTCTATTGAATGCATTGCCCTATTTTTTTTAAAGACCTCATATTTGTTGTGAGGAATGACTATAAATGTGGATTCAGTTTTTTACATGGAACAAATACAGTACCATCATCATCATCATCATCATCATCATCATCATCATTGCCTTTTAATTCTAATTACTGCGTTGTTTGTATTCAGGTTTCAATGTGGAGACAATACAGTACCGGGACATCATCATCATCATCATCATCATCATCATCATCATCATCATTGCCTTTTAATTCTAATTACTGCGTTGTTTGTATTCAGGTTTCAATGTGGAGACAATACAGTACCGGGACATCAACTTCACCGCCTGGGATATCGGCAGCAGAGACAAAATCGTAAGTCAGACAAAAATGTCTTCTTCAAGAACATCTTTTGTGGACTGTTGATGTTCTTACAAACAATATAGATGTCATTTGTGGAATAGCATTAAAGTTAAATACTGTTTTTATATATGTGTTCGGACGATTGTGACATAAGAGCCTCTGTTTGGGGGGTTTGTTGTAGTTTTATGCCGCACTCAGCAATATTCCAGGGGAGTATTCCATATCTGCTGGGGAGTAGATCAGATCTAATGGATTCTAATGGTTGGTGTGATGAAATGGTGGCACACTAGGTCATTAAGGAGGTAGGAGGTCAAATTTGAAATTAACATTTTGCAGCTGTTTGCATCGAACCCACATTCTGCTGATGACAGATTGAGAACCATGCCGCGTTTTGGCAACACTATTCTGACGTGTGCCTACGTGCAACACGCCTATGACACGTTAACATGAAGTATGTGGCAATCATTGCATGGTCACTGCTGTTGCTTTTTAATGATTAAATATGTTTAATATAGCGTCTTTGAGCATTTGGTTCCAAGAAAACATTGCTCACAACGGAGTCTGAGGACAATGGTAAATCTTGCATACCACCCCCTGCACTTGCTGTGTCTCGCATATCACCCCCTGCACGTGCTGCCCTAGGTCACATGCGTTGTGACTGTCACAATGTTGTGTTTGGGAGCTTGATTTCATCGGAAATGTTCCAGCTACATAAATCACTTACTTTCATTGCCAGACATTGATGTATTTTCCTGTGGTTTCACCTCAAAAGACAATATCCCCTACTTTGTTTGCACAGTATAGTTAATGAAAAGATTCCAACGTGTGTGATCAAAGTCATCGTAACATGAAGTTTCCATGCTTCCAGCGTCCATTGTTTCGCCACTATTACAAGGGCACCGATGCTGTGGTGTTTGTGATAGACAGCCATGACCGGGAACGTCTGGACGAACTCAACTATGATGTCATCAAGCCAGCCATAGCGGCAGACGAACTTTCCAACGCGGTGTTCTTGTTTCTGGCCAACAAGATGGACTTGGAGAACACCATGTCAGTCGATGAAATATCAGACAAACTTGGACTAAAAAATCTTCGACATCCTTGGAGTAAGTCTTATGCTGAGTGAGTGAGTGAGTGAGTGAGTGAGTGAGTGAGTGAAACATTTATGTTGCAGCAGCATTTTTTCTGCTTTATAGTGATGAGATAATTGGTTATACTATAAAAACTGTCAGCAAAAGTCTGATATCACAAGTGTAACCAGATCAGTATTTAAAAACTATTTTTTTAATAGTAATGAATGGTTGTAAGCAGTGTGGGGTGGTCAAGTAGCCAAGTGGATATAAGCGTTAGCTTGACATGGGTTAGATTCCTCACATGGGTACAATGTGTGAAGCCCAATTTTGGTGTCCCCCGCTGTGATATTGCTGGAATATTGCTAAAAGCGATGTTAAACATCACTCACTCACTCACTCACTTACTCAGAGATATCTTAACCAAACTTGGGATTTTTAAAAAGTTATTTTTTGCGTTTCTGTGGCAACAACTTTGACTGTATGGGGGTATTGGCGGGGGGATATATGAGTATTAATTTTGTATTAATTTCTTTTACAGACATAATGCCAGTGAGTGCAGTGAAAGGTGACGGTTTGTACCCGGCCTTGGATTGGCTGGCATGTAAACTAGGCTCTGCCCAGGCCCGTAAAGCTCTGGCCACGCCCATGCCTCCGCCCGAGGTCGCCACCCCCGAGGGCACGGAAACTCTAGAGCATGGGATGGACTACTGTTCACGGGCGTACAGTGCTATTAAGTGCCTATTTCTAAGGACAAATCGGGCTGAGGGGGGTCGGGAGTCACCGTGACAGAGTCAGAGAACCCTTGTGGGTGAGTCTCTGTAAGACAATGGGGGCTGTGATGCCTTCACTACTTTCAGCCCTGGAGAGTCTGTGTGCAGCAGACCTACTGACATTGTACAGTTTTGTGTGCATCTCATGAACAGTGTGTCTTTTCACAGACTTCGAGGCAAGGAGGATTGTAAAAACCTTTCACAGAATTGGTCATGGATATAACAATTGATCAAAGATTATTGGGATTGTCTGTTGGAGCGTCTAGTTATCCAATTAACTCTACACCCATCTAAACATGCATTTCTCGAAACCAGGTCCTGTTCCACAAAGTGATCGTGATTCTGCGACTGTCATAAGTCAGGTTAAAGTTTTGGAATTACAATCATCTTAGCGCAAAGATCGCTTTCTGGAATGGGCCCAGGGCTCCCTTGCTCAATGTTATGCCTTACCACAGATATAGGATAGTCTTTGCTTGTGCTCATTGCTCTGACCTGGTAGGCAGGTCCAGACAGAGCCTAGTTCTGACCCTTCTCCTGGCCTAAATCATAATGCATTTTAGACAGAGAGCATGCAATGTTTATCTATTTTCTATAATATCCGTATATTGGACAATATTCGCAATACTTTGGACGATGGCTCATCAGTGAGTGAACACACTGACGCCAACAGAATGAAACCGATCTGGGTGTGGATGATTGGGAACAAAGGAATATACTGACCAACAAAAGAAACACAACACTCACTACTACAAGAAAATTCCATATGAACCGGATTGACCAGCACATGACGATGTTTTTAACTGAACATGTTAACATGGTGTGTATTTTCTTCAGCAAACTGGACCGGGTTGGTAGCCTCGTGGTTAAAGTGTTTGCTCATCATGCCAATAGGAAGGGTTCGATTCCCCACATCAGTACAATGTGTGATGTCCATTTCTGGTGTCCTCGCCATGATATTGCTGAAATATTGTTGGAATATTGTTAAATGTGGCATAAAAGAGTGCTCACTTCCTCTCCAACAAAAAGATAATCCTAGCAGCCTGTGGTGTGGTGTTGTACACCTTGGCTGTAGCAGGATCTGCTGATCTTTGCTTAGTGAACTATGTTTGTTGTTTCCCAAAGTTTAAAACATCTTAACGAAAAATCCTCCCTTTCCTCCCACATCAAACCGACATACAGTGCTACAATGGTTTGTAAGGCACTACTCAGTGTGGCACAACCCACAAATGAAGGTAATTTTTTCACACAAAATTGTCTTTCATTAATATGCCTCAAATACCAAACTGATCATTTGAAATTAACAAATTTTATTATAAATAATTTGAATATTTAAAATGTATCACAGCACAGAGAGCATGGCAGACATAACCAGTGCTGCTCTGTCAGAAATGTACGACCGAGGGGTGAAGGTCAAGCAGTTTTTCGGCCACTGGGACGTTTGACCTTTAAGAAAATTGTGCTTTCCTTTTCTGTTCCAGTGTACGATATTCCATGCAGACTCTATATTTGTAAATCTGACTGCATGACAAACAAATTCAGTTTAAACTGAAAAGAGTATATATGTATATACTTCCTTAATTTACTGTTCATACCGATAGCTGAAATATTGTTCAAAGTGACTTGAAACCAACTCTCACAAAGCCTGAACCACAGTGCTGATATTTTATGAATGCTTCATTCAGATATTTTATGAGCGCTTCATTAAGATATTTTATGAGCGCTTCATAAAGATATTTTATGAGCGCTTCAGTCAGAATGTATATTTGCTACAGGTGTGTTACCATCTGAAGATGTCTTTGATATTCTGATGAGGCACATGATTGCAGTCATCAGTGGTGCTACATCTGCAGCGAAGTTACGATGCCTTGTCATATGTGATACAGATTTATTTAACACAATGTATGAACAATAATCTGTGTGACTCTTCTGACGTATATTTCATGCCGTGTCTAATTCAAATGTTACAAATGTTTTATTTGGGATAACACTTTCTTAGGAAAGTAGAAAGATTCTAGCATTTTTGTGACATCAACATTAGAAAAATAAAATAAATCAAACCTACAAATTGATCCCTTTTACATTTTGTTGTATGAAGGTCAAAGTTTAAAGGTCAATGATAAAGAGTCCCTTTACTCAAGGTCATTGTACCGATTGACTTCATTAACAATGATAGATCATCGGAATGTTCACCTTGCATGTGATTATTATTATTATTATTATTATTATTATTATTATTATTATTATTATTTCACTTTCCATGTAAATCAGAATGTAGTCTACATAGTTTTAATAAACATTTTTCATTTATCATGACTACGTGATCACTGTTGCTGTTGGCAAATGCTACTTAAAATGTAAAAACACTTTTAGAGCCAGATCTGGTTTTTTTCTTGCTGTAAGAAATTCGCTTCAAATTATTATCCTTATGTACTTCATCTGTTAACTCACATTAAGTTAACCCTCCCAACAAATTTGTTTTTGAATGTTTGTGTAAAACAAAATGTGAAGAATTGGACTGGCCTTATAAAAACCTTTTGCAGTAGAACATTGTTTAGATGTATATTTTTTCATATCTTCAAGCTTTAAATCACTGTCACCATTGTAAATGCCATTGTAAATTATTTCTTATTTTGTACCTTGTTTATCAAATTTATATTGATAATTATGAGTTTTAGGTTAGTTCAAACCTTAATATGTATAGCCAACCTTTTTTCTGAAGTTTATAATTTTATAGATTTTTATGAGACAGGTTATCAATAGTATTTTACAATTTGATGCCTCTTGGTGCTTATATTTACATATTTGCAAGTTGTGTAACTAGTGGATTGAAATTGTGTTTACCTGTCAAAGTTTGTCAGTTATTGTTTAGCAGGAGTTGGAAAAAATGCGTATGTAATGTTTTAAAAATGTAAACTGTCTTTGGTATTCACAAATGTAACTTGATGCAAATCCAGCTTTTTGTTTATTTTCTACATAAACACAATTCCCAGACTTATGTTGATCTCAGATGTTTGGTTCCGCTAATTCCATGTTTACATATTAATCAATTTTGAAACATTTATGAGAAAACAACATTGACAACACCAGTCAGATGAATATATACAAAATGCCAGTCATCCTCGGTCATTCAGGGTACTGTATCTCCATCCTTTAATGATGAATGCCCTGGACCCATTGCTGCATTTGAAATGACACCTCCCTACAATGATCTCTCTACTCAGTACCTTCCTCATAAGTTTATTTGCATATACACATACCACCTACGACTCGACCTTCGTTAAACCGCTGATCATCTATAACGCTTATCAATTGTTTGGACCCCGAAGGTAGCGTTGTAACGAGGGATCACTGTATTTAATATTCTACATACAGTCAAGTCCCGTTAATACAACATGGTTGTTCGCATATGATTATGTCTGCTTAATGAGTATCAGATAAATGAAATTAACCTTATCAACGTTCGTGATACAAAATCTAACAACTACATGATAGATAATGATACAAACATGTTGTGATAAAAAAATGAAAATGAAATATTCATATTGTTTTGTTACATTGTTACGATTGTTTTTAGATTGAGGTAATCTAAGCATGTGATTTCTTAAAATCCTGTTTTGTTTATTTAAAGTATTAATTGTTTATTGTTAAACAAGTTTATGTCTGCAGCGATTGTTATATGCAGCTACTAGCTGACTCGTCTCGCATCCAAGATTTCGGGGTAGAATAGGTCTTCAGCAACCCATGCTTGCCGTAAAAGGCGACTATGCTCGTCGTAAAAGGCGACTCACGGGATCGGGTGGTCAGGCTCGCTGACTTGGTTGATGCATGTCATCGATCCCAATTACGTGGATCGATACTCATGATGTCAATCACTGGATTGTCTGGTCTAGACTCGATTAATTACAGACTGCGGTCATATAGCTGTAATATTGCTGAGTGAGGCATTAAACAACAAACCAATCAACCAACCAATCTCACAGGCAGATGACCACAAAGTCAGATTAAAAAGACAGATGAATGAGTTATTTCGGTAATTCGTTGCAAATTAGATGTGTCAGAGTCCGAGGGCTAGACTGTCGGATTAACGGGTCTAAATATCACAGATTTAATCAGATTACTGAGTGTCGGATTAACGAGACTTGACTGTATCTGCTTTCAAGATATGATACAAGAGTTATGTCCCCTGTACAGAGTTCCAGTGTTGTGTGATAGGCCTACTGGTTTCAGCATTGTATCATTCAAATAGGCCAAGGAGTGCTGGTGACAGGCGGTTCCCTGGTTTATATCACACCTCATCACAATGGGGCTGTAGTACACTGGGTAGCTGAGGATTCTGTGATTCTGTGTGCTTTTGTATGTACTGATCATATGTTTCCTAGGTAGAATACTGATACTGATGTTTTCCTAGAGAAGCTCTTATTGAATTCATTCTGTTTTTTGTAGTAGATCATGGATATTTTCAGCCAATAATGGGAGGGTATTAAATGATGGCCATCAACATTTACCTCCGTATTTTGTATTTTCAAAAGTGTTCAAAACGTGAGCGCTTCACGGAAGACAAAGGGAGGTAATTTTTGCAAAGTCTGTGTATCAAGGGACACAACTCTAGTTATTTTTCACGGAGCCGGCCACAACTGTTTGATTTGACTGTATATGACCATTGTATGCTTTTGTGACATGTCACTGGAAAAAATAAGTATCTATTCCGATTTTGTATTTTCAGTTTTTGATGTAAATAGGGTTGGAAGATTTGTAATCCTGCAAATTGACTAATTATGGCCTTACACAGTGAATCTCATTGCCTCTACACTCATAGCACCTTCACTAGTGTCACCAGTAGATATATATGTGTTTACACAAGTACTGTCAAGTTTGTACACTTTGTTTACAAGTCTGTGTTGTATAGAATTCCTTAGAATAGAAAGAAAGTCATTCTAATAATTACAGCATTTGTTCACGTCACGATAGTATGTTTGTATGTTTTTTATGTGAACTTGTTTTGGTTTCAAGATTGTAATGAGGAACTGTCATTAAAGACCCATTTTGGTCCACAAGAAATACAGAATTACAAATATGTGGAAACTTGAAGAAGATTGTGTTATACAAGTTATCAAAAGTACTAAAATGACATAACTGTCATTTTCCTTTTCAACACTTGCAACTTTTGGACTTCTAAATAACATCAAGTACTGTTGGGTAGACTTTATGATAATTAAGATGGTTACCCTACTGGTAAGTTTGACAATTCTTCACAGCCTTATCAAACCTCACAAGGCAATATGATGTACTGCCTCTCAATGCTGATGGTATGACGTCATACTGCCTCTCAATGCTGATGGTATGATGTCATACTGCCTCTCAATGCTGATGGTATGACATGATACTGCCTCTCAATGCTGATGGTATGACGTCATACTGCCTCTCAATGCTGATGGTATGCTGAAGCAATGAAATACTGCTTCTCAGTACTTTTGTAGTTTGTTGTCATTCTCTAAATGATAACTTGAACATGCTAAACTTTAACCTATCGATTATTATTACCGGCCTCATCTTCCTGAGGCAAGGGCATTAACTGACTATATATGTCCAGTTTCCACGCTTGCCAAACTGCTAGAATTCTGGAGTTACAGTTTGGCTGCACGAACGAGTCTACGCATAGTCCGATCCAAATCGCGTAATGAACCGCCCTTGCCTCGGGATGTACTGGCCTGTATGGTAAGGTACATTAAATTGGGTATCAGATTGTCATCCTCACTGTAAAAAAAAAATACAAGGCAACGCAACAGACTTTTCAAGGCCTTTGTGTACATTAACTGTTGATGGATGGGATTCAGAAGCAGTGATGATTCTGGACTGTGATGAGTCATGACAGAAGGGATCACACGGAGAGATCGGTGGCGATATGACGTGGGGTGTTTAGTAGTCAGCGGGATGAGATCTAATCACCAATTTATAATGGCCTTATCAGAATTATGTTTTAGAAAAAAATTTAGACTTCAGCAACCCATGCTTGCCGTAAAAAGTGACTATGATTGTCATAAGAGGTGACTAACAGGATCGGGGGGTCAGGCTCGCTGACTTGGTTGATGCATGATGCTCATGATGTCAATCACTGGATTGTCTGGTCCTGACTCGATTATTTACAGACTAACGTCATATAGCTGGTATATTGCTGAGTGTGGCCTTAAACAACAAACAAACAAACAAGAAAATTTAGAGACATGAACAATGTGGCCACCATAGATGATGATTGCTAAAACTTGCCTCACACAATTACGTGTAGTGAGCTCAACTTGCTCAACACATTCATGTGCAGTCTAGTGCAGGATGAGAGTAGACAGGGGTTTAGGTCTTCTTGTGTTGTCTGTTGGGAATGTCCGGAGGAGACAAGAATCCTTCACAGTGGCTCCTGGGATCTCTGGGGCCGAAACACATACTACCCTCCTGTAGAGGGGACTAAATGAGTATCTGTTGGACAAAATGGCTGCTTAGTATGGATACTGACTAGAATGATGACCATGTGAATAAAGATCCTTTCAGTTGTCATTGTGCTTGGCAATGGGTTGTTCATGCTGTCAGCCACTGGTTTGCAGGTCTTGACTTGATTAAATACAAACTGCAAGACGTTGTTGCAATATTGCCTTGTTGCCATGAAGCTGACAGAAAAGCGCAACAGAAAAATGTTTTGGTCAAGAAGCGTCAGTGGCATATTTTGCCTTGGCTTTGCATTGTCTTTTATAAAGATAAGGTTACAGAAGGTGACCCTGTTGGGCCCATCAGATCTATCTTAGACAGGAGACAAACTTTGAGATTGTTATGAAAACGATCTGACGTGTTTATACGAGACTTAGACATTGTTCTTTTCAATGCCTGCATGTAAGGCCACAACAACAACTGTAGAGGTGTGGCCGAGATGGGTGGGTCACAATTGTTGATTTTATAGGTTGTCAGAAACCATGGTACCAACGTTTAAAATCTTTGATCCAGACCAATTTTCTAATGAAATCAAGGGAAAGACAATACAAACCTGGTGAAAACTTCATTGTGTGCTCAATTTTTCAGTCCAGATATCTTTTTGATCCTCCTAACTTTGTTCGAGATGTGCTTCTGTTCACCCAGCAGTGAATGGGTACCCGGTAGGATGAGATGGTGATGAGATGGTTGTTAACCTTCTAGTGCCTAAGGGGCAGCTTGTGTTGTATACTCCCCAGGGAGCTGAGAATGATTATTAAGTGCCCACTGATCCAGGGACCGAGGTAATAATGGCGCTTTAACCATGGCCCCGAGTGGTGTCGAAACATGCGCAACATAAATGGCCTATTATTAGACTTGATCCTCTTAAGTCAATAACATGTAAGTGTTAGAAAGAAAATGCGATAACTGTCTGTCACATGCACACTGTATATGTTTCTAATAAATTCTAATTTATAATAATATAATAAGTTTTTAACTAAACATTTGCTATTCCCAGTGGACCAATCAGGGCCCTTGTCACATCTCCCCTTCTGTGAATGTCCGTGTACAGCTCTGTGATTCACTTCCAGCGTGTAGATGTACTTTGCTCTTGAAGCAGCGTGCTGCTGTTCTACCCTAGGACTGCAAGACTTTAGCTGTGTGTGTGATATGTATAGCCAATATGTACATGATTGTAAAGTATTTTCCTCAACAGAATCAATAAACAGAGAATATATAGTATGAAATAATGGTAGTTTTGTCTTCTTTTTTCAATATCCTTTTGAAATACATTTGCTTGTCTAAGTCCTTATGTAAAAGTGTCCGTGGCCTGTGTGAGGTGTCAAGAGGCAGGGACACTGATGAAGCAGTGTAAAACTCGGAACCCTCGTCAAACTGATGAGATGGTTGGTGATTGGGGAACAACATTTTGATTCCCACATTTTGATTCCCGCACACAGTCCTTCTGGCCGGAGACCACTTATTCCATGTTATTCCTGAATTTTAATCAAAGTTTACTGTTCTACTTTTAAAGTTTGATTTTTATCCAATGAGAAGCCAGTATGGTTTGTCAAGAGGTAATGAAAGCAGTGGAAACAGAACTTTCCTCGCCTATCTGAACCGGACATCTCACCCCAGGAACATGGCCTGTGTCACATGATCACGTGCACCGCTTTAGTAATACAAATAACATTTGAAATAGTCTCTGGTAGCATGCACATCGAAGGCAGGTCCAGCATTTTTAAAATCTCATTAAAATCAGATCTTAGTTCTCGCTACCACTAAACAAAGATCTGAAGACATCCCATTACGGGTCACGTCAGACCGACCTTGCGCGAACTTTGACCGACCAATGGAATGACCAATCAGAAGGCAGCTTTCTGGTGGTCTACGGCACAAGTTTCAAATTGGCGACTACGCTTTGAAACATATTTTAACAAATTCTCGATTACAAATTTGAAACCTGAACAATAAAAACATTCTGGCTAATAGATGGTCTAGATTGTAAGGATTCAGTTTTTAAACCCGTAACTATCGTTCGGAATACCCCATGTTAAAGTTTTCGAGATTGCATGATTAGAAATCACATTCCAACTGTCACTTTCATAATCTGGTTAGCGACGCACTGATTGGTCGAATGAAAAGTCGTTCTGACGTGACCCCTTTTAATGAGATTGGCATTTTTATAGGGAGGGGTCCAAAATTTAAAATCCCCTCAGTCAATTGTACTGCCTACACCATACAACATTTGGTTTTCAAAAGGGGGAGTCTGGAGCCCTGGATCACCCCTCTGGATCCGCCTGTGCACATATCTTATTGAGTACTATGAATGAGATATGTTAATATTAATTGGTCATCTGACAATAGATAAATTCAGGCGATGTTTATTTGAGAAAAAGTGTTAAATTTGGTTGTAAAAGCATTCATTCTCTGCATGTCAAGTTTTACTGGAGCAAGGCACATATCGGGTGTAGTAGTGACCGTACTGACAGGCGAAATAAGCACCTTCCATCCGCTAACATCAAGCCAACATGTAACAAGTTGCCATTACAAAGACGTGTGGAAATAACTGGTCGGTATTTGTTTTACAAGTAAAGGATACTATTTGAGCTTTCAGCATGTTCATGAATCACACATTGTCTGTCCTAGGTGAATTCTGTCCTGATGACAGCCTTTAGATATAGATTCATAACAACCAATTTGTATTGATTAATAGAAGAAGAAAAGAATTTACAATACACTTTATTTACAGAACATGCCACATGGTATACAGAATACTGATGACATGCTTACTTCTTCAGAAAATCAGGAAAAATAGTAAACATTTCCTTTCAAAACTGTTTCATATCAAGCAATCATTCCTTCAAATTTGTATAACAAGAAATCTAATATCCCAGAAACAAAACATTTACAACAGAAAACATACATTCCTATATAACATTAAGCAGAAAAAAAACATGATTACATTTTCCAAACTTTCTCAACACTATGTTTCAAGTTGTGACAAGAAAGACAAAAACTTTTGTTCCTAAAATGGTAACTGCAGCCTCCCTGTTTGAATGTAGCAGGAGACAGCGGAACTCACGGTGTTGCGGGAGAGTGTTCCAAGGAATTCCACATGGGGCATTGGAAAATCAGACATTCCCCACTTTATATAAATAATGACAGCGCCGACACATCCAATCCTTGATGTAGCTCTCCTACTTATAATGTTCACATATCTTCATGAACTCAATGATGGAGCGCGAAATGTTGTCGTCAGGAGAACCATCACTGGCCACGACCGCCTTGCGACCAAACTCCTTCGCCTGGAACAGATATTACATATATTGACATAAAGCAATGAGTTTAAGAATTAGTTCTTATATTAAGTTTCTGATTCAATGATTTCTATTGTAAGTCATGTGAGTGTGGATTCTAGACAGATGTTAATGGTAATGTCAGTCATGTGAGTGTGGATTCTAGACACATGTTAATGGTCATATCAGTCATGTGAGTGTGGATTCTAGACAGATGTTAATGGTCATGTCAGTCATGTGAGTGGATTCTAGACAGATGTTAATGGTCATGTCACTCATGTGAGTGTGGATTCTAGACAGATGTTAATGGTCATGTCAGTCATGTGAGTATGGATTCTAGACAGATGTTAATGGTCATGTCAGTCATGTGAGTTTGGATTCTAGACAGATGTTAATGGTCATGTCAGTCATGTGAGTGTGGATTCTAGACAGATGTTAATGGTCATGTCAGTCACGTGAGTGTGGATTCTAGACAGATGTTAATGGTCATGTCAGTCATGTGAGTGTGGATTCTAGACACAAGTTAATGGTCATGTCAGTCATGTGAGTGTGGATTCTAGACACAAGTTAATGGTCATGTCAGTCATGTGAGTGTGGATTCTAGACAGATGTTAATGGTCATGTCAGTCATGTGAGTGTGGATTCTAGACAGATGTTAATGGTCATGTCAGTCATGTGAGTGTGGATTCTAGACAGATGTTAATGGTCATGTCACTCATGTGAGTGTGGATTCTAGACAGATGTTAATGGTCATGTCAGTCATGTGAGTGTGGATTCTAGACACAAGTTAATGGTCATGTCAGTCATGTGAGTGTGGATTCTAGACAGATGTTAATGGTCATGTCACTCATGTGAGTGTGGATTCTAGACAGATGTTAATGGTCATGTCACTCATGTGAGTGTGGATTCTAGACAGATGTTCATGGTCAGCCTGTACACCTATTGAAGTGGCACATGTGGTATCTCAAGACTGTTACCGACAAACATTACCTGTGTCATCTTCCCAAGGCAAGGGATTTAACTGACTTTAAAAGTCCAGTTTCCACCCTTGCCAAACCAGGCTGGGTTCAATCGTATTGCCACCAGTGGCTATTACTAATTATACATAGACTCGTTAGTCCAGCCAAAAGCTAACTCCATAATACCAGCCTAGTTCGACAAGGGTGGAAACTGGAATTTCATAGTCAGTTAACTCCCTTGCCTCAGGAAGATGAACCTGTGTATGAAATCACAGTGTGGATACTGACGATCTTTATGATGTAACATGAGGTAGGATTCAGTATGAATATTTTGAGCCTCTAGTTTATGAACATAACAATCATGTTTTGTTCACATAAAGACTTTATTAGCGGAGTCTGTTTCTGAAAGAATACAGTGCTGCACGCCACCCTGTTTCTTATAGGGGGGACTGGTTGTCTAACGCATCACGATTCCCTGTACAGAGTTGCGTCCCTTGGCCACGCCAGAAACCTATTATTGTTGGTTTGAATCCCGGTTCGTACAGATTATGTTTCTAGGTCTGTCAGCACCATACCCGTGCTCGTAGGTTTCACCTAAGTGGTAAACGTCTGAGACCTGCATCACTTCGGGCTTTCCTCCCACATTAAGCTGACACGCCGTGATATAACTGGAATACTGTTAAAAGCCGCGTTAAACCAAACTCACTCACTCACTCACTCACTCACTCACTCACTACCATTACATACATGGAGGCCGTGTTAGGTGTCATCATGTGAAATCAATGAAATCAGTGATGCTAGATTGTACAAGCATTTTTCAAGCTATCACAATACAACAGCAACAGAGGTAGCCTACCTAAGTTGCAATAGTATGAAAATAGTATTTTTACTATTGTTATATTATTGTAATAATTGAAATGTATTAGAAACTGGGGTTCAAACCAACACTCAGCAGATCCTGACACAGTACACAACTCTGAACTGTGAACTGCAGTGCTGTGACCACTGGGCCACCTGGGCAACTACTGTGTCTAACCCTGTCTGTGTGTGCACCCACCCTCTTAATGTGACCCTGGGCTGTGACTACTGTGTCTAACCCTGTCTGTGTGTGTCCCCACCCTCTTGATGTGACCCTGGGCTGTGACTACTGTGTCTAACCCTGTCTGTGTGTGCATCCACCAACTTGATGTGACCCTGGGCTGTGACTACTGCGTGTAACCCTGTCTGTGTGTGCATCCACCCTCTTGATGTGACCCTGGGCTGTGACTACTGCGTGTAACCCTGTCTGTGTGTGCATCCACCCTCTTGATGTGACCCTGGGCTGTGACTACTGCGTGTAACCCTGTCTGTGTGTGCACCCACCCTCTTGATGTGACCCTGGGCTGTGACTACTGCGTGTAACCCTGTCTGTGTGTGCATCCACCAACTTGATGTGACCCTGGGCTGTGACTACTGTGTCTAACCCTGTCTGTGTGTGCACCCACCAACTTGATGTGACCCTGGGCTGTGACTACTGTGTCTAACCCTGTCTGTGTGTGCACCCACCCTCTTGATGTCCTGGAAGACGAAGTACAGCATGGCCAGGGCGTGGCACACCGTGGCCAGATCCTCGGCTGCACGGTTTGGCTGGTGTTCTCGCATGTCGTACATGGCGTTGAGGACCTGGATCGCCTCAGCTTCCTGTGCCTCATCTGTGTCACAGCAGAAACATAACAGGATGAAACAGGTTATAGGAGTAAAATAGGGATAAAACAGGGTCACAGGTGTAAAATAGGGATAAAACAGGGTTATAGGGGTAAAACAGGGATAAAACAGGGTTACAGGAGTATAACAGGGATAAAACAGGGTTATAGGAGCATAACAGGGATAAAACAGGGTTATAGGAGTATAACAGGGATAAAACAGGGTTACAGGAGTATAACTGGGATAAAACAGGGTTATAGGAGCGTAACAGGGATAAAACAGGGTTATAGGAGTATAACAGGGATAAAACAGGGTTACAGGAGTTAAACAGGGATAAAACAGGGTTACAGGAGTAAAACAGGGATAAAACAGGGTTATAGGAGTGAAACAGTGATAAAACAGGGTTACAGGAGTTAAAAAGGGATAAAACAGGGTTACAGGAGTATAACAGGGATAAAACAGGGTTTCAGGAGTATAACAGGGACAAAACAGGGTTATAGGAGTATAGCAGGGATAACAGTTTCATAGGAGTATAACAGGGATAAAACAGGGTTTCAGGAGTATAACAGGGATAAAACAGGGTTATAGGAGTATAGCAGGGATGACAGTTTCATAGGAGTATAACAGGGATAAAACAGTTTCATAGGAGTATAACAGGGATAAAACAGTTTCATAGGAGTATAACAGGGATAAAACTGGGTTATAGGAGTATTACAGGTAAAACGGTTTCATAGAATAACAGGGATAAAACAGTTTCATTGGAGTATAACAGGGATAAAACAGGGTTATAGGAGTAGACCAGGGATAAGACAGATAGGGATATAATTAGAGTAAAAAACAGGGATAAAACCGAAAACTACAGAGATACGAGAGGGATATACAATGTACTACCAACAGAGATATAAGACGAACACAATAGGAAGACAACAGGGATATAATAGACACAACAGTGATATGAGAGTGATAAATCGGTAATAGAAAGACAACAGGGTTAAAAGTGGGATATATAATAATTAGAAATTTGAGTCAGTTGAAGAACATTTATATTTGTTCCATATTTATGCAAACAAGCAGGAAACACAATCGCAGTGGTCCACCAACCTAGTGGCTCCTCCTCCTCCTCTAGCCTCTCCACAGCCCCAGGCCCCACCCCCTTCGGGACATCCGGGGTCCTGGTGCGCGACATGACGATGCGGTTCAGGTGATGGTGCCAGATGCTCGTCACCTACAGGGGCAGGACACACGTATACTCTAACAGGATATTACTGGAGTAAGGAGGTGTTACACTCATACTTTACTCGTATATATAAACCAATACTCCATCAATTGGAATCCAAGAGGTGTCATCCTTCGTTAAGTGTAGGCCTAGTTCATCTCCATTCAATAATGATAAATACCCAGAAACATTCATCTTCATACAAATGTTTTAAGTCTGGATAAAGTCGCTAATAGTTGTCCAATCAAATTACTCTTCATTCCTGGTATTACAAGAACTTGACACCAGTTATTTTTGGGGAGTTTTTCATAACAGGAATTATGAGTCAAACCTTTCGCCTTTACTGACTTCACATACTTTCAGCAAGTTTAACATCAACATTGGCACAGTATGATATGATAAGGTGAAAATGAGTTTAACATTGCATCCAAATTTATTGCACATATATACTGATGTGCATGCACATGTGTGTGTGGCTGTTTGTACTAGTCCGGACTGATGCCGATTTATAGTGCTAGCTCACTGAGATACCATGCCTCAGTTTCACATGAATACCCCACTCAGACACAGTATACCAACTCCGAGCCAACCAGTCCTTGTTTTAGCCCCTTAATGGCGAGCGCCAGACAGGGTAATAACAAGTACCATCTTTTAACATGTTTTGGTATGACGCGGCCATGAATCGAACCTGGGACCTTCCTTCTCCGGGCAGACGCTCTACCACTAGACCACGGAGGCGGTCATAGTATGATTTGGGTTTGATCCCTTCCTGACAGCGATACGGAATAGATGCCAGATGACATGAGTCAAACCCTAACCCTCCACAAGCTACAGGACGTGGATCACACCGGGTCCTACCTGTCTGTACAGTGTGTCAGCGACGTCAAAACCCTAACCCTCCACAAGCTACCGGACGTGGATCACACCGGGTCCTACCTGTCTGTACAGCGTGTCAGCGACATCCATCTTCCCCTGGCGGAAAAACACGTTGGCCATGTGGAAATAGCCTCCTGATGTCCGAATGTCCTCGGTGCCAAATTCTTCAGAAGCGTGATAAATCTGACAGAGGAAAATACATCTCATTCCAATCAACTCTCAAAGTATTAGATTAATAATTATATTGACAAGGTTAAGGGTTTGTTCTGATAACTGTGTGCCTTGTCAGTGAATCTGAGAGGTGACCCTTGACCAGTGGGCTCTGACAACTTAAGGATGCAAATCTGCTCAGATGATTACTTCACAACAAGGTAAGACCAAAGCCAGATATATCTTCCAAATAAAGGAGGTATGTGCAATGTTTTATCGGATGATAATATACAGTCAACACTTATCTGTTTATCTGTCAAGGATGTTTCCATCTTTTCTTATCACTTTCTTTAGGTTACAAAAAGACTTATCAATGATTGTTTTCCAGGAAGTGAGTGAGTGAGTGAGTGAGTATGGTTTTACGCCGCTTTTAGCAATATTCCAGCAATATCACGGCGGGGGACACCAGACATGGGCTTCACACATTGTACCCATGTCGGGAATCGAACCCGGGTCTTCTGCATGACGAGCGAACGCTTTAACCACTACTCTACCCGACCGCCCCTTTCCAGGAAGTAATGCTGCGCACAGATGCAAGCAAGTCTCAGTGGGGTAGTGTATAACCAGGGTACTTTGTGGGAGCTACATCATCCCCAGAACCAGGGAGTGGTAAGAATATGTGGCTGAGGTAGAAGGGCATCATACCCGACACCAACTGTAACAATTATCTCTTGAATGTTCTGTGATGCTGATCAGCTGCTATCGGCTGACATCCACTACCGAAGTGAGCACCAGGTGTTTACAAACTCCTGGGGTCATCACTGTGTTTCAGGGGTCCATTCCTATCATTAACACAGCTGGTTTGCCCTTTACACCATGGAATCTGTTTCAGCAGATAATCTAGACTGGTTATTCTCTTGCTCATGTAAAGTGGTGTATCATGTAAACAGGTGTATCATGTAATGTGGTGTATCATCTAACCAGGTGTATCATGTAAAGTGGTGTATCATGTAATGTGGTGTATCATGTAATGTGGTGTATCATGTAAACAGGTGCATCATGTAATGTGGTGTATCATGTAATGTGGTGTATCATGTAAACAGGTGCATCATGTAAAGTGGTGTATCATGTAAACTGGTGTATCACGTAAAGTGGTGTATCATGTAACCTGATCTATCATATAAAGGGGTGTATCATGTAAACTGGTGTATCATGTAAACTGGTGTATCATGTAAAGTGGTGTATCATGTAAACTGGTGTATCATGTAAACTAATGTATCATGTAACCTGGCGTATCACGTAAACAGGTGTATCATGTAACCTGGTGTATCATGTAATGTGGTGTATCATGTAATGTGGTGTATCATGTAAACAGGTGTATCATGTAAACAGGTGTATCATGTAAACAGGTGTATCATGTAACCTGGTGTATCATGTAACCTGGTGTATCATGTAAAGAGGTGTATCACGTAACCTGGTGTATCATGTAAACTGATGTATCGTGTAACCTGGTGTATCATGTAAACTGATGTATCATGTAACCTGGTGTATCATGTAACCTGGTGTATCATGTAACCTGGTGTATCACGTAAACTGGTGTATCATGTAACCTGGTGTATCACAGAACCTGGTGTATCATGTAACCTGGTGTATCATGTAAACTGGTGTATCATGTAATGTGGTGTATTATGTAAAGTGGTGTATCACGTAAACTGGTGTATCACGTAACCTGGTGTATCATGTAACCTGGTGTATCATGTAAACTGATGTATCATGTAACCTGGTGTATCATGTAAACTGATGTATCATGTAAAGTGGTGTATCATGTAACCTGGTGTATCATGTAACCTGGTGTATCACGTAAACTGGTGTATCATGTAACCTGGTGTATCATGTAACCTGGTGTATCATGTAAACTGGTGTATCATGTAATGTGGTGTATTATGTAAAGTGGTGTATCATGAAAACTGATGTATCATGTAACCTGGTGTATCATGTAACCTGGTGTATCACGTAAACTGGTGTATCATGTAAACTGATGTATCGTGTAACCTGGTGTATCATGTAAACTGATGTATCATGTAAAGTGGTGTATCATGTAACCTGGTGTATCATGTAACCTGGTGTATCATGTAACCTGGTGTATCACAGAACCTGGTGTATCATGTAACCTGGTGTATCATGTAAACTGGTGTATCATGTAATGTGGTGTATTATGTAAAGTGGTGTATCACGTAAACTGGTGTATCACGTAACCTGGTGTATCACGTAACCTGGTGTATCATGTAAACTGATGTATCATGTAACCTGGTGTATCATGTAAACTGATGTATCATGTAAAGTGGTGTATCATGTAACCTGGTGTATCACGTAAACTGGTGTATCATGTAACCTGGTGTATCATGTAACCTGGTGTATCATGTAAACTGGTGTATCATGTAATGTGGTGTATTATGTAAAGTGGTGTATCATGAAAACTGATGTATCATGTAACCTGGTGTATCACGTAAACTGGTGTATCATGTAAACTGGTGTATCACGTAAAGTGGTGTATCATGTAAACTGGTGTATCATGTAACCTGGTGTATCACGTAAACTGATGTATCATGTTAACTGATGTATCATGTAAAGTGGTGTATCATGTAAACTGGTGTATCATGTAACCTGGTGGATCATGTAACCTGGTGTATCACGTAACCTGGTGTATCATGTAACCTGGTGTATCACGTAACCTGGTGTATCATGTAACCTGGTGTATCACGTAACCTGGTGTATCACGTAACCTGGTGTATCATGTAAACTGGTGGACTACACTATATCAGTCATCGCTTGAGGTACTCACATCATCTGCTAACTGCCTCAACGCGGCGGAGTACTCTCCCTTGGCAGCGTACAGCAGTCCCAGGTTCCTGTAGAGCTTGGACTTGATGGCGTTAGAACACTCCGGTGTCTTCAACACGGTCCACTGGGCCTGGGCTAGATACTCCTCCGCCTGGGCCAGTCGACCTAAACCTGGGGAGCACAAGACACCTGGTAATGACAAGGCACCTGATGATGACAAGACACCTGGCTATCACAAGACACCTGGTAATGACAAGACACCTGGTAATGACAAGACACCTGGTAAAGACAAGACACCTGGCTATCACAAGACACCTGGTAATGACAAGACACCTGATGATGACAAGACATCTGGCTATCACAAGACACCTGGTAATGACAAGACACCTGGTAATGACAAGACACCTGATGATGACAAGACACCTGGCTTTCACGAGACACCTGACTATCACAAGACACCTGATGATGACAAGACACCTGATGATGACAAGACACCTGGCTTTCACAAGACACCTGATGATGACAAGACACCTGATGATGACAAGACACCTGATGATGACAAGACACCTGGCTATCACAAGACACCTGGCTATCACAAGACACCTGATGATGACAAGACACCTGGCTATCACAAGACACCTGGCTATCACAAGACACCTGGCTATCACAATACACCTGATGATGACAAGACACCTGGCTATCACAAGACACCTGGCTATCACAAGACACCTGGCTATCACAAGACCCCTGATGATGACAAGACACCTGGCTATCACAAGACACCTGATGATGACAAGACACCTGGCTATCACAAGACACCTGGCTTTCATGAGACACCTGGCTATCACAAGACACCTCGCTATCACAAGACACCTGGTTATCACAAGACACCTGGTTATCACAAGACACCTGATGATGACAAGAGACAAGGCTATCACAAGACACCTGGTAAAGACAAGACACCTGATGATGACAAGACACCTGGTTATCACAAGACACCTGGCTATCACAAGACACCTGGTTATCACAAGACACCTGACTATCACAAGACACCTGACTATCACAAGACACCTGACTATCACAAGACACCTGGTATTGACAAGACACCTGGCTTTCACAAGACACCTGACATAACATCAACATAGAGAGGACTACTGAAAATCTCACCCAGCCCTGTAGCAATCAGTTGGGATTTCTCAGACAATACTCTGACATCATTTTAGTCAACATATTTCATCTTCCTGAGGCAAGAGAGTTAAGTGACTATAAAAGTCCAGTTTCCACTCATGTCAACTTATTTAAATGAGGACTGGAACCACTGCCCATACAATCATCACTGGTGTGGCTGGCGGAGACACAGATATCTACAGACCACTCTGATATGACAGGACCATGGCTTAAAAACATTCACCAACCCACTCACTACACCTTCAGTCCTGGGGAGCTAAATATTCCATATACCCAGTAAATATACAGACAATTGACTGTGTCAGCTCTTAAACAATTCAACGCAAGCAATCTCCTACTGTTCCTGTTTGTATACATTGTTGTGATGTACCTATGCTGGCTTCTCCCAGGATGAGGTATGACGGCACCAGCTCTATGCTGGACAAGCCATGAACATCGATGGAGAATCTCAGTGACTGCATCGCTGCGGGAACCGCCTGTTCATGCTTCCCCTCAAACAACAACTTCTGACCTGTTGTACGCGTCAAGTCGATCATGTGCCGCTGTAAACAACGAGGACAGATGCTGGTTATTATTATATTTTTAATCTAGTAAACAGACGCAAGGCCACTATATATTAATGTTTTAGATTTTCATCTGAAATAAACAAAGAGGTGAGAAGTGGTGAGGTTGAAGGCTTTTAAATATTTAAAGAAACAATTCCAGTTTGAACACATTGAAGGATATTGTACTCCAGCCACTCATTCAGCATGTACGTTTAATCATACTTTCCACTGAAGTACAGAATAATTGTGTCTGTCCAACATATTGATTCTGTATATATATGCTGAACTTTCTATTTGATTCTGCAACCAAAACCTGATTTTTTGTGTTCTTTTCAGATGATATTACAGAATAATCTTTAAATCATCAGTGTTTGAAACAATGTCTATGAATCCTTGTCATTAAATCGCAAAGTTTAAAACAAACAAAGGGGTCGTCAGATTAAACTGCCACACCCAAAAACTACAAGAACCCTTTAAGTCTTACACTGAATATGGACTAATTTCTGCTGAGTTTCCCAGATTAAAGGAATGTTCTGACTTTAGGCAAGCAAAATGAGTATAAGCCTCAGAGTGTTCACTACATTCAGCCTGCAATAACACTGTTTTAAATACACTGATAAGTCTGATGCTTATATGGATAAGTCTGATGTTACAAACAAAATCCCACAAGAAACAGTAAAAAATCTTATTGTGGATAGCCAAACGGTAATAAATCTTATTGGTGGATAGCCAAACGGTAATAAATCTTATTGATGGATAGCCAAACGGTAATAAATCTTATTGTGGATAGCCAAACGGTAATAAATCTTATTGTGGATAGCCAAACGGTAATAAATCTTATTGTGGATAGCCAAACGGTAATAAATCTTATTGGTGGATAGCTAACTATTTTCCGTGTCACATGGAAGACGTTACAAAATCTGTTTAATATCCATGAGTTGACTGTGCAGATGCAAGATCATTGTGAGAAATCCTCTTGTGACATTTTCTTAATGGATGTACATTATATTTATTTATGATGCTTACCTTTTTTAATGATAATTCCTTCTCCCTCTTTTGCCTTTCTTCGTCTGATGGGAGGAAGGGAGCACTGATACGAAGTGGGATTAGACTGTCGCAGATCTTCTCATGGATGCCGAGCCAGTCGGCTTTCTGATGCTCTACCCCACTAGAATTCACCAAATTAGATATATAAGTCATTGATGGACCATCTCACATCCATCATGTTCATAAGATTGATGTTTCATTTTTCATATGTTTTACTTTTACACATGATCTGGTGATATATCTATCATACATAAGTTATGATCAATCTATTGTGAAAAAAGCTGTGACAAAGTTGGTGCTGACACATAGTAAAATATGTTTATAACGAACACGCCTATTACGAACTGGCGGATATAACAAACTTAATTGATCGGTGGCCAGGCTTGATAACTTGTCATAGCGATACGGATCAGTGCTCATAATTACAATCATTGGCTTGCCTGGTGCGGACTCAATTATTTACAGTTCACCATCATATTGCTAAAACCTTGTGCAGCTTTACACATTATCACTAGAATCTTGTAAACAGCATCTGGAATGCATGTAATGAATGTAGCTTATATAGGGACACTAAGTCTGTCATACAGACCCTGAGACAAATATCAAATACAGCCAGTGCAAGTCTATAATATTTGGCAAGTCTAGATTACTACAGTGTCAAGAAATGAAGAGAGTCTGTGGGTTCCTTTTATGACATTTCATAACTATTATTTAACAACTGTTTTTATCTGTAAAATATGTTCATTTCAGAGACTAGATGTTAGTTTATGGTACACTCTGTACAGTAAGAAGCTATGTAGATGTGATCAGGAGCACCTTTAGAATACAATACAGAACTAAGTACAAACTACTGTCACACCAGTTAACCCAGAGTTCACTGCTTTCGTCATCAGATTATATGTTTTTGGATATCATATGTTTTCATGTTTATCACGATTACTCGCACTGTAACATGAAGTGTGGCGTCACACAGACATTATAAATACTTGGATGATGGCTTGTTTTTAAAATAAAGTTGTCTTTCATAAGTGAGTGAGATGTTTTACAATTGTTCGTCTGTTTAGAGAGAAAATTAAGAATGTTTGTTAAGCATCCCAAAACCCATAACACGAGGACGACAAAACAGTGGAGTGATTTTGTCGCCAGAATGATCATATTTGAAGCCAGCTAATTAATCCTTTTATCAGACAAACATGCTTTTCCAAAACCGTTCAATAATGCACAAGGACTTGAACTATTTGGTAACTAGAGACAATTTTATATAGTTTTTTAGATTCTGGAATAGAAGGTCTACTGCTGACACCTGCAGAGCTCCTGTCCACGAAATCATAACTTATATAAAAATCCTAAATCGTTATTTACAATTAACATCATTCGAATCTACTATTATCGGATCACTTGTTATTTGACACCATGCTATCATTAAGTTCTAGTAAGCGTCATATACTGTAAACAAGTCGGCAAGTGATGGCAACAAATAAACGTGCAAAAAGAAATATTAAAATAAACGTAAACTTTTATCTCACCAATAATAGGTCACTCTGCAACGCATGCATTGTATAAAGGCTGGCTTTTGACACAATTCACAGAGTAACTTCAGTCCCTTAGGGTTTGATAAAGGATTGAGTGTCATGTTTCCTAAAATGACAGGAAGAAACACTATGTTTTGACTCTACTTCACTTGTTCATGCTGTCATTCCGCCATTGTTGTTTATCTCGTTGCTATTGCTAATGCGCATGTGCGGATATCGCCTATCGGAATCCTTCGGGCAACTCCGTAAAGTGACAAACGAAGTGAATGGTATTCTCGGGTTTCTTTGCTCGGTGCAGCCTGAATAACTCGGAGAATGGACCCTTCTGTGGCTTCATTCTCCAAATCCCCAAACGTTTTTCACATTGTTTTACAATGACACACAAGGAGCTGTTTATCTTATATAGATCGTAAAACGCCTCAGCCTTATTGGGAACTATCGTTGCGCTTCGGCCACTGTTCCAGATCGCCGGGTGTCATATTTGTGCTTGCCGAGCTTCAAACGTAAGAAACACAGTACAATCAAAATATAGTTGTATTTTCCCCCATCATCAAAAGTTAAAAGCTAAACTAATCTATCGAATCGGTGGAAATGAAGGAAGCCATAATTTAAATAAAATCTAATATAAATATCCTTCAATCATCTCCAAGAATGTGGCTCGTATGAAGTGATTGATTATCGTTTAACGCCATTGTAAGCGATATTTGCAGCTATATCACGGCGGTATGTAAACAATCGACTCTCGACCAGACAAATCATTGATCGATAGCATAAGCAATATTAGTGCCCATAATTGCTACACTAAAAACACTATCACCGACTGCAACCACTCTATCGTCATTTCAGCAAGGCTCTTACGACAAAGTTTGTTTGTTGTTTAACGCCACACTCAGCAATATTCCAGCTATATGACGGCGGTGTGTCAGTAATCGAGTCTGGACCAGACAATGCAGTGATTGACATTGTGAGCATCGATCTGTGCTTGTTATACGATGACATGCATCAACCAAATCAACGAGCCTGACCACCCGATCCCGTTAGTCGCCTCTTATGACAAGCATATAATAGTCTCCTTTCACGGCAAGCATGGGTTGCTGAAGACCTATTCTAGCCCGGATCTTCACGGTTATCTTACGACAATATTAAGTAGTGCATCGGACCGCGGAGATACTACATGCTGCACCAGAGTGATCTGTGACATTAGCGTGACTTAGTCACGTGGCTTTTTTTCAAGCTGGGATTTTGCATCGAGATTAGATATTTTTTCAGCTACATAGCTACAAAAACAGTTGTTTTGTTTGTTCGTTTTTTTAGATTATGAGCTTGAATTTTCTTTAAAGAAAAACACCCTGCAAAGATGCAATTTTTGCAGCAGGCAATTTCTGTTTTTGTTCCACAGTCAAAGCAAAATTATTATTTTCAAGTATTTTCGGGGACACTATATCAAATGGTCGGTACCTAAGACCTGCACTACTTTGGGCTTTCCTCCCACATCAAGCTGACGCGACACGATATAAATGTAATACTTTTCAAAGCGGCGTCGAACCCAACTCACTCACTCACTGTCATAGTTTTGTTTGTTTGTTGTTAAATAGTCGAGTCTGGAAGATATAATCCAGTGACTGATGTCATGAGCATCGATCCACGCAATTGGGATTCGATGACATGCATCAACCAAGTCAGTGAGTCTGACCACCCGATCCCGTTAGTCGCCTCTTATGATATAATATGATCATTTACGGCACTATCCCCGTGACGTGTAAGATGAATCCAACTTCCTTACAACTTGCAGATTATCTTCATGCAATGTAACAATCTTTGTAAACCCATCCTCGGTTAGCCAGGGTACCATATACATATCCGTGTATCTCCTTTCTGTTACCCCGTGACCTGTTCACTACCACAGCCTCGTTTTGATTCAAACAGCACGATGCTAAAATTAGCAATCCAATCAAATTACTCCCACGAGTATTTTTTTGTGTGGAATTTATCGAATCCATCCGATGTACCGGAGGCAAATGTGGATATGGACCAGACTAATGAAATATACTGAAACACATGGATAACGCATATTCGAACTGCTGTAATATTAGGCAAAATGGCCACAATAATAAAATCAAGGTGTTCTGGGTATTTTATATAGGCATGAGATATTCAAACACAGTAATGTCGTTGTACGAGTTCGAATCTTCGAGTGAATTGCAAAAGTGACGTTACTTCATGAAAATGTTTCATGAAAGTTTCCCATTGAAATATCACTGCATTGTTTTAGGTTTTTGACGTTAGTCATTCATGAAAGACGTTTCTTTTGCTGTTCAGTATATAGAGTTGGGTACAGGGATTAGATGCAGAAATATCTGAGACTGAAGTTAATCCATAAACCTTCGGAAACTAAATAAACCGGCAGGTATAATTGAATAGTTATTGAGGTTTTCACATATGTTAAGCATGGCAGCCAAAGTTGGTAATTTTTAATGTGGTACTGAAGACAGGGTTTTTTTCCAAATGAGCTGTGATGTACCAATTCATAGGTGGTTGCTTGCTCGTTTGTTGTTTTTTAACGCCACTCTCACAATATCCCAGCTATATGACGGCGGTCCGTAAAATAATTGAATCCGGACCAGACAATCCAGTGATTTAGCATCGATCCACGCAAATGCATGGGATACGATGGCATGCGTTAACCAAGTCAGCGAGCCTGACCACCCGATCCCGTTAGTTGCCTCTTACGACAAGCACAGCCGCCTGTTACAGCAAGCATGAGTTGCTGAAGACCTGTTCTACCCTGGATCTTCTCGGGTTGTACCAGTTCAAATGAAGTGGATACATATCTGAACATTATAAGGAATTAGCTTGCTGTCGTGCATTAGCACGATTTTACAAGTGGGTGTGATAAATATTCCGTTGCATCTCGTGTTACGGAGACTTATCTACATCTCACTCAGTAAGAGGTGTATCTGTTTCATTGGAAAGTGTGTTGTACGCTTCTTGGTCTTTCTGTATTACTTTCAGACGAAGTATAAACTCAACAGAGAAGGAATTGTTAGCCCACACTAGATACCTATATTTAAATACTTTTGATATACTTTCTGTACAATGGTTTTACGTGTGATCAGAATACATTCGTGTCTCAGAGATCATTCATCAGGAAGGGCAGTGTATGGTTCTGACCTTCTGCTTGTTATTTCCTGTCACGTGGTCTACGGTTATTTCCTGTCACGTGGTTTGCGGTGTCTTCCCCAACTGTACCCAGGTCCGCAAGGGTGAGGTGTACTTGTTATTAAGACTTGCTTACACAGCTTCAGTGGTGGGCAGAGATGGAGGATCGGGGGCGGGTGTTCTCACAAGTTGAGGTTAAGTTAAATGCGGTTTAACGTCGCGCTCAAGATTATTGAACTTACATAAGCGACGTGCATATGTACGTGCGTGCGTGGCTGCTTGTACTAGTCCGGACTAATGCGGCATTGCCGATTTTATAGTTCTCGCTCACAGAGATACTATACCCAGTATATTGTAGCGCCACAAGCTACTACGTCGGATAGCCGTGAGCCCAGTATATTGTAGCGCCATAAGCTACAACGTCGGGGAGCCATGAGCCCAGTATATTGTAGCACCACAAGCTACTACGTCGGGTAGCCATGAGCCCAGTATATTGTAGCGCCACAAGCTACAACGTCGGGGAGCCATGAGCCTTGTATATTGTAGCACCACAAGCTACTACGTCGTGTAGCCATGAGCCCAGTATATTGTAGCACCACAAGCTACTACGTCGGGTAGCCATGAGCCCAGTATATTGTAGCACCACAAGCTACTACGTCGGATAGCCATGAGCCCAGTATATTGTAGCACCACAAGCTACTACATCGGGTAGCCATGAGCCCAGTATATTGTAGCACCATGTGCAAGCTACTACGTCGGGTAGCCATGAGCCCAGTATATTGTAGCATCACAAGCTACAACGTAGGATAGCCGTGAGCCCAGTATATTGTAGCACCACAAGCTACTACGTCGGATAGCCATGAGCCCAGTATATTGTAGCACCACAAGCTACAACGTCGGATAGCCATGAGCCCAGTATATTGTAGCACCACAAGCTACTACGTCGTGTAGCCATGAGCCCAGTATATTGTAGCACCACGTCGGGTAGCCATGAGCCCAGTATATTGTAGCACCACAAGCTACAACGTCGGGTAGCCATGAGCCTAGTATATTGTAGCGCCACAAGCTACTACGTCGGGTAGCCATGAGCCCAGTATATTGTAGCACCACAAGCTACAACGTCGGGTAGCCATGAGCCCAGTATATTGTAGCACCACAAGCTACTACATCGGATAGCCATGAGCCCAGTATATTGTAGCGCCACAAGCTACTACGTCGGGTAGCCATGAGCCCAGTATATTGTAGCACCACAAGCTACTACGTCGGATAGCCATGAGCCCAGTATATTGTAGCACCACAAGCTACTACGTCGGGTAGCCATGAGCCCAGTATATTGTAGCACCACAAGCTACTACGTCGGATAGCCATGAGCCCAGTATATTGTAGCACCACAAGCTACTACGTCGGGTAGCCATGAGCCCAGTATATTGTAGCACCACAAGCTACTACATCGGATAGCCATGAGCCCTGTATATTGTAGCACCACAAGCTACTACATCGGATAGCCATGAGCCCAGTATATGTGAAAACCAACCACATGTGAGACAATTCAACTTGACTTCGCGTCCGACAGATGTTGAGACGGTCCCCGAAATATATTTACTTCCAGGCAAAAGAGGTAAAGAAGGAACGCTTGACCACGCCCTTCTTCGTCAAGGACACAGGAAGCGTACTGTGACGTCACATTTATGAATGAAAGAAATATATCCCACAATACATATGTTATTGCCGGCTGACGTCAGTGAAGATGTTAATATATAATGGGACAGAGACACTGATGCATTAATCTACATGTTTACGTTATGGTTGATTGATTAATTCGTTTGAAATAGTAGGAACACGACATTGACTTCACTAACACGAACTATTGAAAGTTAAGGTTATCAAGAACGGCAAAATAAACACGAGCATACGGGAGGATTTCTTTCATTTATATCAACATAGTGACCTTGTTTCTTATGCTGAGCTTCAACAATGATTCACTTGAAACATAGTCTGAGAATGACTCAATATATAATATGTTTCACAGTTAAAATATAAAAGCGTTTTCATATACATTTGGACACCTCTTATTGTTTTAACAGACCGATGCAAACGCACGCCTGTATACGTTAGTCCGTGAATATGGTACTTTGGGTGTTGGAAAAGCTGATTTAAAAAGAAATCGAAATACGATTTCAGAACTCCACATAAGTTGCGTATCTGCGTAAAATAATCAAAATAAACCACCATGGCCCAAACATTCTTGAGCAGATATAGTAGTAGTAGTAGTAGTAGTAGTAGTAGTAGTAGTAGTAGTAGTTGTAATAGTAGCAGAAGAAGTAGTAGAAGCAGTGGTAGTAGCAGTAGCAGTAGTGGTAGTGGTAGTAGCAGTAGTAGTAGTAGTTGTAATAGTAGCAGAAGTAGTAGTAGTAGCAGTGGTAGTAGTAGTATTAGCAGCAGTAGTAGTAGGGTAGTTGTAATAGTAGCAGTAGTAGTAGTTGTAGTAGTGGCTGTAGTAGCAGCAACAGTATTAGTAGCAGTGGTAGTAGGATCAGTAGTAGAAGTCGTAGCAGTAGTAGCGTTAGCAGTTGTAACACCCGTGGTAGTAGTACAATATATACTGATACACATAATACATAAAAAGTGTACGACGTGCGTCCAGCCAGGCAGTGGCTGATGAGACACTTTATACAGTAAACACATAGTAGAAACATATAATGTGAGAGGTGGGAAATTAAGATAAGAATTCAGAAGACTCCCCGATTCTCCTCTTCGCATATATGAAGCTGCACAAAATAAATTATACTGTAAATCTTCATAAAATTGTTGTAATAAAAAGTGACATTCATCTTCCACAATATCACAATATATACACATGGGAATATATATATATATATATATGTATATACCCCGCAGACTGGGCCCGAAGTAGTATGATATATCGAATACCCAAAGAAAACTATCAATACTCAATGTAAATGACATGTGAGTGAATATTCAAACTCTCAATGGATTATCCAGGGCCCTGACAAACTACAGAGGTATATGTTTATTTTGGCAAGCCCCTGATAAAACAATAACAGATAAAGTCAATGACGTCAAGCGAAACACAAAGCAATGATAAGTTTTGTGTTTATACACAAATTAATTTTTTCAGCATAATAAATGACTGACATGAGTATTATCACTATCAGAATATTGTGGGAGGTGTGGTGTTGCCCAGTACGACAGACCGGAGCACCGACATGGGGATACCCTTGTTGTGTTGTTGGTGAGTTTACACATGGGAGTTTGACGTGTGCGGGTATTTGCTTATCTGGGGTGAATGGGGGACGGGGATGAGACGCACACTGGTGGGTACATTGACCGAGATGGACAATGGGGATTTCTGTGGAGGGAATGGGTTGCTGAGGACATGCAGGTCGGACAGAGGTCAAGCTTGTTTTTGTGACCTCACGCGTGTCTCGGTGTTCAGGAAAAACAGGCACCAAGGAAGGTTTCTGTCTTGGCAACAAATGGGGCACGTGGCTGAGGCAGGGGTATATAGCACCCCAGATCGGTTGACAGTCAGACAGGAACCGAGCTACAAGAACTGCTTCACGAAAGCCATTTGTCTCTGAAAGACGCAACCGTTTACATCTTAACATTCGCCCTGGGAGATTCACCATAATCACCAGACGTCAGACAAATTGCCCTTTAAATCAAGCAGACGACAAATCAAAGTCGACCGTTCCACACATCAGCCTTGCTTATCAGACGAAGAAGCACAGACGACCGGACAATAACGATCCTGCACAGTCAACGTGATCAGCAGACGACATTTGGAAACCGACAAAAGGGCACTGAACTCTAAACATGGTTTGGTTGAAAATTCGTGCTGCAGCTCAGCTCGTGCTGTGGGCGTCCCTCCTGCTCCTCCCCTCCATGGTCGGGGGACACGGGCGTCTGCTGGAACCCCCCTCTCGAGCAAGTATGTGGAGGCTTGGTTTCAATACCCCACCAAACTACAACGACAACCAGCTCTTCTGTGGTGGTTACCAAGTGAGTATAAAGATGTTTCAAACCAAAATGCAGTAGCATATAATATTATTTCTTGCACGAAACGAACTTTCTGTCTAGCAAATGGACGGTACACCAAAACAGTTCGTTATAAGCGTGTTCATTATAAACGTAGTTTATGGTACATGTGAAAAATATGAACTACCCTATCTCTTTGAAGGACACCACGTCGCTATATAAGCGCAGTAATCATGAACGCGTTGTTAAAGCCCATTTCACCTCACCCATCCAACATTTAAAGGACACAAACCTGTAAAATATGACACCATGTTCACCATGACTTCCATTACAGAGACAGTGGGAACAGAACAAGGGGAAGTGCGGTGTGTGCGGAGATCCCTGGGACGGGGTGCGCGAAAACGAGGCTGGGGGGAAGTACGCAAAAGGCATCATCGTCCGGAAGTACAACCAAGGGGAGACAATCAAGATTGACATTGATCTGACGGCCAACCATAGAGGTAAGTTGCATTTTCTTACAGTTTTAAGAATATTACCATCAAATCACTCGACAATTTCTTTAAGTGTTATCTTAAAATTCTGGTCTTTTCATTTTGTTATAATGCTAATGAGCAGCAAGTTGGTATCGGGGAATGTTTGACCTCTTAAGTCACAAAAAACAATATCTTAATTCCAAGGCTATACATACAATGTCTAGTACTGGATTTGCTTGACTAATAAAGACCCGTGAAGATCCGGGTTAGAATAGGTCTTCAGCAACCCATGCATGCCATAAAAGGCGACTATGCTTGTCGTCAAATGCGACTAACGGGATCGGGTGGTCAAGCTCGCTGACTTGGTTGATGCATGTCATCGTATCACATTTGCGTGGATCGCTGCTCATGATATCAATCACTGGATTGTTTAGTCCATACTCGATTATTTACATAACTGGAATATTGCTGAGTGCGGCGTGAAAAACAAACTACCAGACTAAAACCTGACTGAGTAAAGGCAGTAGTACTGTGCCCCCACCTGCTTCACTAAAGACATACAGGAATCCTAAAAACGTATTTGAAATGTATTGATGTGACATAAATAAAGCAGGATACATGTAAAACCATTTCATTGTGGAATCAATATCTGTTCAAATTCCTTTTCGTTATTTCAGGTTATTTTGAGTTCCGTCTTTGTCCCCACAACAACCCCTCCACCCCCGTCACCCAGCAGTGTCTCGACACACATGTTCTGAAACACCCTGACGGTAGCACGCGCTTCTACGTCACCACGTCACGTGAGGGCAAATACAATATGGAGGTCATACTTCCGGCGGAAGTGTCGTGTTCTCAGTGTGTCCTGCAGTGGAAATACAACGCTGGTAGGTTAACTGATTTACCTTAATTTAAGATTAAATATATTTTTTGTTTTCATAAGATTTGTTTCTCTTCTGTTTAAGCAAATGATATCAAACGGTTTTTCTCAATGGTGAAATAAACATGATCTATTTTAAAACAAGGATGTTTATTAAAGATGTGTTGCTCTTACATATTGTTTTTCTTAAGTTGTGCGAAAATAACACGATCATAAAACTAGTCTGACATGCAACTGTAGATGCACCTTCTGTTTGACCAGGCAACTCTTGGGGATGTGAAGCAAGTGGTCACTGCTGTGTTGGGTGTGGACCTCAGGAACAGTTCTACGGCTGCGCAGACGTCGCGATACTCTCGTCTAACAGTCAGGTGCAAACTGTCTATGTAGCGCCATCTGGCGGTGCTACATCCGGGTGCTCAGCTATCGGACTCTGGGCAGGAGATAGCCGGATAGTCAGGTGGTGCAAGACGAACTGTGCCCAGGGTAACTGTCCCACACAGATGTGTTCTGAGGGTTGTCGTTCCCTTGGCAACCAGCATAAATAACTTTAATGCTCCGAAATTAGGGTATTGGACGATGATGTAACGTGGTCTTGTGAAAGAAGTGCTCAATGTATATACCAAGTGTTTTTATTTTGATATGATATTTATTTGTATGATGTTTATTTTGTAATAAAAAGTTGATAAACATTAATGTTGTATTCTAATGTTAAGAACACCTTGACACAGTCAATGTGACCTCTTCGCTCGTCAGGCAGTCCGCCCGTCCGTCAATCAATCAGTGGAATAGTAGGTCAGCACTATACGTTTCACATATCATATCCTACGTGTTTCAAGTTAAAACAAAATAAACTTTGGATCAAAATTGAAAGCGCACAGCTCATTAAAGGGAAAAAAACATTTTTGCCAACCCCATCTTCTAAAAAATTATTCAACATATTGTTTTCAATTATTTGGCGTATTTTCATAAGACGTTCATGTACAATTCCAAATGTTGTCATGGCATGGCATTGTTTGAAATAGGGTGTTTTTCAACCGATTGAATATCTAATGTTGTTTACTACTTGGTGACTTTGCTTGTCAGAGCTAACATACCACTAGTAGCCGAATATACCTTAAAGTGATTATTCTGTCACCTGATTTGTTGTAATTTAACCATAAATTGAGATTTTATGTTCACTGGAACATCTGTCCGAGACACAGCCACAGTTAAGTAGAAAGCTTTGTGTCTTGTTTGTGAAAGTTTTAAGTCACCATAGTTCAGAAAGGTGAACAGAATTGAGCAACTTAACACCAAATTTAATGCTGGAATCAGTTTAAATAATCATCAATTAAATATATCAGGAAGCATCATCAAATTCATTCAGTTCACTTAAGATGTTAATTTGCATACCTTTTGGATCTACTAAATATGCATGAATAGCTAAAATGGTAAATAACTATTTTATCATAGTTAAGGTAAATAGTGAGTGAGTGAGTGGGGTTTTACGCCGCTTTTAGCAATATTCCAGCAATATCACGGCGGGGCTAAGGTAAATAGAAAACGTCAGCGCAGGAGAAAAATAGTGACCACTTGCTTCACATCCCCAAGAGTTGCCTGATCAAATGGAAGGTGCTGCTACAAAGGGAATCTCACCCGAGTGTCTTTTGATATCAAATATATCAACACGAGTTGATAAAAGTGGGAAAATTCAGAGGCTTGCCGAGGATTTTTGCCACTTTTATCAACGAGTGTTGATATATTTGATATCAAAAGACACGAGGGTGAGATTTTATTTATCATCCAACATCATTCTTCCAACTTTTTTTGATTAGTAGACAGTAATTAGCAGTGTCTTCAGTGTAAAAAGTACTGCTAACAGCTTCAGTAGCAGAGCCATAAGTGATGTCATTTGATTGTGACGTCATGGTAACCAGTGACGTCACAATGGTCTGCAAAGCATTGTGATGTAATTTCATTGCAGCGATATCTACAGTGTAGATATCGCTTGATCTAATCCAAGCGATATCTCCTGTGGGAGCCAGTTTGGGATGATAAAGTTGCATGTCAGACTAGGCTCTAAACCACAATGGCCAGATCCAGTCAAGACAAGAGTTTGTCTTATTATCTGCCGAAACAGATTCCTTTGGACGTAAAACGCAAAACAGTGTTGAAACCTTTAACATGAATAAATGCCTGTATATTCACACATCCAAATACCTGGTTGTGTTCGACATTATTCTATGTTACCAATCTGTTTTTGTAACCAATGGCGACAATCCAGGATGTATGACACTCAGGAGTGGTTGTTTCTTACGGGTTTTCTGCAGAGTTATCTATTCTTGTGTATCGCAGGCTACACCTCCTCTCAACCCTAATTGAGTCTCTTCACACCTCTTCTCCACTCCTTCCTTAACTGTTTGTTTGTTTGTTTAACGCCGCACCCAGCAATATTCCAGCTATATGACGGCAGTCTGTAAATATTCAGGTTTGGGCCAGACAGTCCACATATTTGACAATACTTTAATACAATGTACATTGTTCTTCACAACAATGGGCGGTGGGGTAGCCTAATGATTTAAGCGTTCGCTCGTCTCGCCGAAGGCCTGGGTTCGATTCCCCGAAAGGGTACAATGTGTTAAAGCCCATTTCTGGTGTCCCCCGCCGTGATGTTGGTGGTTTATTGCCTAAAGTGGCGTAAAATTATACTCACGCACGCACTCACTCACTCACTTAAATGCTATACCACTGAAGAAAGGTGAATCGACTTTTGTATCAACAGGAGAATAGTCTGGTAAAACATGTCTATTTTTATCAGCATGAATAAGCTGAGAAGGAAAACGATTGTTGGGCATGAAATGTGAACAATATTTTGTTTTATAGAGGGTTTGGGTCAGTTTGGATAGAGCAAGGTCATGAACACATTTCACAGTTTATTGCTAGTTTTAAACAACGATGTATTGACATGGAACAATTTCTTTCAATGTACATTGTTCTTGACAACAAGGAGTGGTGGGGTAGCCTAATGGTTTAACCCCCTGGATGCCACAGGGACATATATGTCCCTCCTCTACAACCCTCACATTGAAGTCGAATAAAATTCAAAATACATCACCCACACAAATACACTTCACAGTTTTGAATAAGATGGGAAATTTCCTGTTCTGTGATATCATCCACTGGCATTTTAGGCAAAGCAAAAAAACTGAAAATGACCTCTGAAAATTAGGTACATCGTAAATGTCGCCATTTTTTACACATTACTAAATCCCCACTCACAGCGTTATTTACAGCATGTTTTGAAATCTAAATTTCGGATATTTACTCGGAGAAATGAATTTCAAAAATAGCATATTAGTGATCACGGGTATCTGTCTTTTATCAAATCACCAATGATCATTCCAAAACGTCTCCAATAACCCTAGAATCGTTTAGAATGTTTTGGAAAATACGCAAAAACGAGCGCCGAAGCGAACTTTCCGCTATATTGGAAAGTATTTACAAAATTACGTTTCAGGTACACCAGCTATGAAACGCCTGTAACATCAGGTATATTTCAAACTTAGCTGCCATACATACATCCTTGAATTCCTCATACATTTTAGAATCAAATGACCAATGGTCTTTGTCACCAATACAAAGTGGCTGGATGCAATCAAGCAAAATAAGTTAGGTGTGAAAACGAACGCTGTGCTCGAAAAACTGCACTTGTTTGAAATGTAAACAAAGCAAAATTACAGATACGGAGGTCTGTGTTACAAATAGCAACGTCATAGAACATGCTAAAGGATGACGTCACAAACAAGCACTGTGACGCCAATGACGTCACATAGCAATAGAATAGACAGCAGCCAGTCGTTAGGGGAAAGCGGACTGTAATCAAGTAACAGTGGCCCGCAGATTTTTGTAAACATGCGAGCATTTTTATGATAATTCTATCCATTTTAGCTATAATACTTTAAACGTTCAGATTTAGTGCATTATATATTCCATTGTTAACGTTTATGGTTATATTAAAGCGTTGTATCGGAAACATATGTACTGGTACTAACGTTTATACCGTTGTAAGTGTCAAGTTTTCTTTTTGAAAAGATACAAAGACAAAGATACCAAATGGTGTAAACTTTTCGGCATAATAAATTCATTATTCTGTCTTCAGTTGCCGTATACGGTGTCATATCAGGTTAGCAGAAAAATATTGGGCGAGTCGTCTGCTAACCTAATATGACACCGTATACGGCAACTAAAGACACCATAACTAATGGTCTGCCTCCATATTTACGCAAGTGGCCCCATTCGCCCGTGTTTATTCAATATGAAAGTAATTTGTTCTTAATACCAAAATACCCAATATCAGATGTCTGGTTAAGGGGTAAATAAAAACGTACAACTTTATGCATAACGGCTTCTGGTTTATTGCATATAGCGACGTTTCTATGTAGATTCTCACATCACCTGTTAGCGCCAATTATCTGAGAGAGAGAGAGAGAGAGAGAGAGAGAGAGAGAGAGAGAGAGAGAGTCTCACCCGAGCGTCTTTTGATATCAAGTATATCAACACGAGTTGATAAAAGTGGAAAAATTCCGAGGCTTGCCGAGGGTGAGATTTTATTTATCATCCAACATCATTCTTCCAACTTTTTCAATTTGTGGACAGTAATTAGCAGTGTCTTCAGTGTAAAAACAGCTTCAGTAGCAGAGCCATTAGTGATGTCATTGGATTGTGACGTCATGTAACCAGTGACGTCACAATGGTCTGCAAAGCATTGTGATGTAATTTCATTGCAGCGATATCTACAGTGTAGATGTTCTCTGCCTCATTTCACCTAATGAAGGAGTAGGTATATACTCCGAAACGTTGTGTTCCTCATAATAAAGAAGTTGACATCGATACGTTTTATTCCTTTTGTGTATCACCTACAAATACCTTTCAAAGACTTGATTCTTACGTCGTAGCTGGAATAGAAAACTGGAAATTTATAATTGTGTAAGAATCTTTATCTAAACGTCAATCAAACACATGCTTTATGTGTAGTGTTTGACACTCGGACTCTGTAATGGTTTTACCACACACTAGTCCGCCCATCAGGTAAGCCGATACGACATCACCTGTACAGCTCCATCCCGTTCATCTCTCCCCATTCAAACATCTCTACACTGAGGTATTCTCAATCACTACCCGTCTGCGTCCAGAAAATGTTTACACTGTAAACAAAGGGGTCTTCTCAAAATCTTAATGTCCGTCAAATTCTTGATTCTTTAATTGTGTCGACTCCTCTGTTGATATAGTTTGGAACAAACAGACAAATGCCAGTGTCATTCCGGGCCTCCGAGAAGCTTCTTTCGGCCTCTGATGAACTGACTGTATCTCAAAAAGTTGGAAGAATGATGTTGGATGATAAATAAAATATCACCCTCGTGTCTTTTGCTATCGAATATATCAACACAAGTTGATAAAAGTGGAAACACTCTGAGGCTTGCCGAGTGTTGATATATTTGATATCAAAATACACGAGGGTGAGATTTTATTTATCATCCAACATCATTCTTCCAACTTTTTCGGTTTGTAGATAGTAATAAGCGGTGTCTTAAGTGTAAAAAAAGTACTGCTTACAGCTTTAGTAGCAGAGCCATTAGTGATGTCATTTGATTGCGACATGGTAAATAATGACGTCACAATGGTCTGCAAAGCATTGTGATGAAATTTCATTGCAGCGATATCGACAGTGTAGATATCACTTGATCTCATCCAAGCGATATCTCTTCTCGGGGCCAGTTTTGGATGATAAATTGAGAACCTCACCCGAGTGTCTTTTGATATCAAATATCAACACGAGTTGATAAAAGTGGAAAAATTCCGAGGCTTGCCGAGGATTTTCGCCACTTTTAGCACTTTTAGCATATCTACAGTGTAGATATCGCTTGATCTCATCCAAGCGATATCTCCTGTGGGAGCCAGTTTTGGATGATAAATATCCTTGTTACTATTCAATTAATTAACCCAGGCAGCTGGGGTAACTGCACATCTCCCAACATTCAAACATATCTACATTAAAGTATACAGAATCACTGACCATCCTTATCCACACGAAATGACACATCCTTGGTTCAGTCACAAAATGTAATGTCTGTATTTATTAACTGGCTCTAAGTAACTGTATATCTGTCTCGTTCTTGAGTTCCACTGAAGTTAGTGCCACTTGTCCTCAAATGCGTTTAGTGGGCTCTTGATTTATATGAAATTTATACAGGTTGTGATGTGATGTTGTGTCTATGAGAATCTTGTTATAAGATCTTTGAGATGGCCCCTTTATTTACCTGAGAATTCAAATTGCCCCGGATGTAGACAAACACCCTATTTCTTCAAGGTCACTGCAAGCGTCATGCGACGTCACAAGTAAGAATAAAACGACCATACTATTTCGAAATATATTCAAAACAATGTGTAAATAAGTGTTGGTTTGTGTCAGGGTAGGTTAGTTTATATTACTACATGACGCTGTTGTCCAGATAGTGACAAACACATCTTCGTTTAGGTTAAGTGGGTGGATTTGATATTCGAATAACTGGAAATCAAGGCCATGAACTCAAGTCCTCGTGCACAAATTTTATATCACGAGTATCTTTGGTTATAAGAAAAGAAACAAAATATTGTTGGCGAACTACTATTGATAATGAAGTTGTAGTTTCCGAATTCTCAATAAAGTCAATTTTTTGAGTCCATGAAATATGTCTGAATATAAACTCACGAAAACCCATATATTCACCATAACAAACAACGGAAAGAAACTTGATCAACAACAAAAATACCAATCAAGAATGAAAATATCCCCTTATTTACATGTTTAATAATGAGGTTAGATTGATCATAGAACAGTTATGACTTTTTACTGCAAACTGTGAGTAGCGGGCGCTACCGGTAGGGCAGGACACTCTAAACCTTTTCGCAAACACCTGGTCTCATCACTGATTTTCAGTGATCCATTCATATACATTTCATTGCTATTTTGCCTTCAACGCCCAGGGGAATCTGTGTCGGCGCATAATCGAGACTAGTTAATCTCTGGCGTTGACTTTGTAACAAGAACAAACCAGCACAAAGAATACAACACAGAACACGTTGTTTCAAAACAATCAACATTCACACTGTGTTTTTCGTATAGAGTCGTTATTTTATGTTTAATTAACTTGACTTACATAAGCAGGTAACATAACCGGCCTCATACGTCCTTAACTCATCCATACATTAAACTACGGTCATAACGAACTCAAAGAGACCACTTACATGACCAGATTAAGTACAAATTATATCTGACGTCAATGTCGAAACATGTATAAGCATTTGTTTGCAAATTTTGAAATGAGCAACATAGAAATCAGACAATAGTGTTAATGCCCCCAACCCAACTTGATCCGGGAGGTGGCGCTGCTATGTCCAGAGTAGGGACAGGTACACAGGGGCATGTTGTGATGCTGGTGGACGAGAGACGGGAGAGGAGGGTATTGTAGGGTATTTGCTTATCAGGGTCAGGGGTAATAGGAGGAGGGGTGACGGGTGAAATTACTGCATTGACCACAGAGACATTTATTAGGGGGTTGCTACAGACATGTGTTCGACAGGAGGTCACGCTTGTTTTTATGACATCACGAATGACTCAGTATTCAGGAAAAAAACACGCACACTATCAGTTTTGATAACAATGAGCTACGTGGGTGAGGATGGGATATATAGCACCCCCAGTTCCCCTGGCAGATACAGGAACAGAATCACACCAGAATCCGAGGTAGCCTCTTGTCAGTTATTTGCTTGGAGACTCAACATAATCATCAGACGTCATATAAAGTTTTAATCAAGTAGACGACAAATCAAGTCAACAGTTTGCCACAGTCAACGTGATCAGCAGACGACATTTTGAAACAGACAACAGGGCACTGAACTCTAAACATGGCTTGGTTGGAAATTCGTGCTGCAGCTCAGCTCATGCTGTGGGCGTCCCTCCTGCTCCTCCCCTCCATGGTGGGGGGACACGGGCGTCTGCTGGAACCCCCCTCTCGAGCAAGTATGTGGAGACTTGGTTTCAATACCCCACCAAACTACAACGACAACCAGCTCTATTGCGGCGGTTACCAGGTGAGCTTAATGAAACCGAAGCCTAATAAAAATGCAGTAACATACACTGTCATGTTTTTTAAAGATTTTTCTGTACATTTTGGATTTTCTGTCTTTATTTAAGTCGAAATTCTTATGGAATATATTCAGTAATGATATCAATGTACAAACTTCTTTTAATGTATTCTGAATCTAATATTTTACTTGAAGGGAAATCGTTTAAAAACACTACACCCAGACAGGTCTAATTGTCTTGTCCTGTTATATTAGCTATGTGGGTGTATTTAAGCCACGCATATGTGGAATGTTTCTAGATTATGGAAATGGTCATCTCGTTAAAGGACACACCGTATGTTTGTGAAACATTGTGTTCACCATGACCTCCATTACAGAGACAGTGGGAACAGAACAAGGGGAAGTGCGGTGTGTGCGGAGATCCCTGGGACGGGGTGCGCGAGAACGAGGCTGGGGGGAAGTACGCAAAAGGCATCATCGTCCGGAAGTACAACCAAGGGGAGATAATCAAGATTGACATTGACCTGACCGCCAACCATAGAGGTAAGTTGCATTTTCATTACAATACATTAAGGATATTACTATCGAACCGCTGGACATTTTCTTTATAATACATGAAGGATATTACTATCGAACCGCTGGACATTTTCTTTACAAAACATGAAGGATATTACTATCGAACCGCTGGACATTTTCTTTACAATACATTAAGGAAATTACTATGGAACCACTGAACATTTTCTTTACAATACATTAAGGATATTACTATGGAACCACTGGGCATTTTCTTTACAATACATTTAGGATATTACTATCGAACCACTGAACATTTTCTTTACACTACATTAAGGATATTACTATCGAACCACTGGACATTTTCTTTACAATACGTGAAGGATATTACTATCAACCACTGGACATTTTTGCCAAATGTTGTTTGTCTTCAAAATAAAGATATAGTTTTATCTCCTTCAAGATAAAATCTGATAAGGTAAATAATGTGCAGTGCTGGCAACTTTAAATCAGGACATTTCAAACATTCTCGATTTTATTTTTAAAACATTTGAATGATACTTATTATGAAGCCACCGAAGTCCCATAGAGATCTATCTTAATTCCACACAATGGCAATACAACGTGTGACATAAAAAAAGAATAACACAAATAAAATCCCTGTTTTCCTTACTAGCAATTATATCACAGAAGAATCAAGGTTTATACCATTACTTCATTGTGGAATCAATATCTATACATGTCCTTCTCGTTACTTCAGGTTATTTCGAGTTCCGTCTTTGCCCCCACAACAACCCCTCCACCCCCGTCACCCAGCAGTGTCTCGACACACATGTTCTGAAACATCCTGACGGTAGCACGCGCTTCTACGTCACCACGTCACGTGAGGGCAAATACAACATGGAGGTTATACTTCCGGCGGAAGTGACGTGTTCTCAGTGTGTCCTGCAGTGGAAATACAACGCTGGTAAGTTAACGGATGTAACATGAAATTAATCTATTTTAATTGCCTCGTATCTGTTACTCTTCTTCTTAAGCAATAACCGATCTATAGATCTATATTTACATAGACTAATCTTCTTTATGGTGAAATTAACATGATCAAACTGAACGCAAAAACGATTCCACAAATTCTGATCGACTCCTAACTCAAAACATTCGACTCAACCCATGCCGTTTCATTCAATGTATTTGCTAACACCAAAGAGTTCGCGTTTTATTTAGTCATGGTAGAATGGAGATAAACATTCAGCTACCTTACCTATGGACTGAACCGCGCTATATTTAACATTTGAAACTTCGCGCTGCGCGTTCGGTTCCAAAGTCGATTTAGCAGGTTACCTAGATCTACATTGAAAACACAATATGTTTATCTCCTAATTCTACCATGAATTTGGAAAGTACTCGATCTTGATTGGTCAATCAGAGGTATCAAATCAAAAGACCAATAAAAAAATATAAAAAAATACCAATACTCCAATAATTTGCTTTAGAGGAACAAAACAAATCAGGTCTTTAGTACATCAATATCATTGTTGTTGTTGAGTCAGCTTGACGACACATAACATGCAACTGTAGATGCACCTTCCGTTTGACCAGGCAACTCTTGGGGATGTGAAGCAAGTGGTCACTGCTGTGTTGGGTGTGGACCTCAGGAACAGTTCTACGGCTGCGCAGACGTCGCGATACTCTCGTCTAACAGTCAGGTGCAAACTGTCTATGTGGCGCCATCTGGCGGGGCTACATCCGGGTGCTCAGCTATCGGACTCTGGGCAGGAAATAGCCGGATGGTCACGTGGTGCAAGACGAACTGTGCCCAGGGTAACTGTCCCACCCAGATGTGTTCCGAGGGTTGTCGTTCCCTTGGCAACCAGCATAAATAACTTTAATGCTCCGAAATTTGGGTATTGTATGACATGTTGGACAATGATGTAACGTGGTCTTGTGAAAGAAGTGCTCAATGTATATACCAAGTATTTTTATTTTGATATGATATTTATTTTGATGATGTTTATTTTGTAATAAAAAGTTGAAAATATTCCCAGCATCATTATTCTCTTATTTCACCTTCCTTCAAATGACACACATTTCTCACACAACATTCACACTGTATCAAATGCATCTGATGACGGGCACCATCACGCCCCACTGATCTGTAACATCTACTGAGGAGCGGTGGGGTAGCCCAGTGGTTGAAGGGTTCGATCACGCCTAAAACCTCCGTTCGATTCTCCACATGGTACAATGTGTAAAGCCCATTTCTGGTGTCCCCCGTTGTGGTTTGGGGGAATATTGCAAGAAGCGTCGTAAACCAATACTCATTCACTGTAACATCCGATGAACTTCCGTGAGTATTAGGGACTCTGGGAGTAAATAAGTGACACCACAGTCAACAATACTCCAACTGTGTCAGTGATCGAGCCTAAGCCAGGAAAAACAAAGTCACACAGTCTGACCACCTCAGTAGCCTGGAATCACAGAAGGTACCTTGCTATTTCTTCAGTCATCACCAACACATGTAACCTTATTTAACTGGATGTCCTAACAGGACACCTCTATAACTGTATTGATATATAAAATTAAAATGTTTTTGCACGCAAGTTGGGGCCCCTTACACATCTTTGAAAAATGGCCACATAGATTTCTTATTCTTGGGTGCTATAAGATATGTCTTCTAAAATGTAATTGACTGCGGTAGATGAACAGAATGTCATTATAATGAATACCTGAATCAGTGACGGCGAAATGGAGTCAAAGCCAATGGGTACCAAACCCTCTGGTCGATTATAGTCATGTCCTTAGCAACCTGCCAAATACATGTCTCTGTGGTCACTGCAGTCAGTTCACCCCTCCTCCACTATCTCCCCACCGCATCAGCAAACACCCTGACAATACCCTCCACCCCCGTCTCTCATTCACCAGCATCACAACAACACAGTTCATATGTGCCTGCCTCGGTCACTATACTGGACATAGCAACGCCACCTCCCGCATCCAATTAGGTGGAGAGCTTTGCGAACACACGTCAGAGATGGCATGGCTTAATCCCGGATCATGTACTGGATATGTGCAAGGTGTTATGAGTTCGGTTGCTTGGTGATCTTAGTTAAGTTTATTAAGGCTTTATACAATACACAGAGTTTGAATGGTTATTATCATGAGTCGTTATTAAGAAATCCAATTCGAATTGTATTTCTTATTTAGTTTGTTCCTACTGTTTTCGAAAATCACAACTGCCCAAAGATCAATATGACCTCATTATTTGGCAGGAAAATAGAAAAATCCTTCTATATCGTGATTTTTTGCTGTTGTTGAAATGTCTCACCTCCAGCATCCAATAATGTTGTTTGTTTGTCATATCGCTGATGTCATAATATTTGCAAACAAATACGCATGCATGTTTCAGAGTATCCTTCACTTAATCTGATATCATATGTTGGGGTTATTGTAAAGACTTATCAATGTACGTGTCACTGATAAAACTTGGAAATGCGTCTCTTTTTAAAAAAATAAGACGACATATCAAAGTCCAAATGTTACTCGTTTATTGGTTTGTTCATTCTCATTATAGTGACGTTTCTTTCCTTTTTCTTTGTTGTAATTTGGGTTTCCCAATTTTATATTCAGAAGTATTTCACCAAACACTATTTGGTGCATTGCAACTGAATAATCGACACTATCTTTTTAAATCAGAATTCAGACTAATCTAATTGTACGATTCCGACCACATCACCAGCATGTATCTATGAATCACTATCAAGTGGTGATGGTACCAGGTTTTCACGAAAACATCAGCCTATCCTGCCCCACCGGTCGCACCTGTCACATACACATGCAAAGGCAAGTCAATTGATCACCTCAAATAACACGAGATCATATGTTATTGTCAAAATAGGGAAATGCATTGGAGATCATTTTTGTCACTGATTTGGAAAAGTCATCCATATACTTTAGTGCAGATCTGTTTGCATTGTGAGAGATGTAAAACACCAGGCTGAAATCTCCAGTTGCCTCAGCCCATCTGTTTGGCTGGCATATTGCGTGGAGTAAAACCATTAAACAGTCATCAGTGTGTTCATCGTAACCGTGAGGTTGGACGCCACACTTCTAATACTTTAAAGAACGCATTACTGGTTCATATGCTTATGAAACCCTGACTGTTGTCATGCATGCTTCATGGGTCACGGAAGCCCACCTTAAGTTACCTGTTTTATCACCCAAATATGTGAACACGGTCAATAACAAAGGATATACCACAGCTGTTGCTTAATAATCATTGTATTATCGCACTATAGCGTATCTTTCAAACAGGTATGGGGACACCCACTCCTTATATATTTCAATAAAAGTAAAATTTACTTACAGTAAGGCAGTTGTTTAACGTCGCACTTAGCAATATCCCAGCTATATGACAGCGGTCTGTAAATAATCGAGTCTGGACCAGACAGTCCAGTGATTATTATCATGAGCATCGATCCACGCAATGGGATATGATGACATGCATCAACCAAGTCAGCGAGCCTGACCACACGATCACGTAAGTCGCCTCTTACGACAAGCACAGTTGCCTTCTACGCCAAGAATGGGTTGCTGAAGACCCTTTTTTAACTCGGATCTTCAGGGCTCTGTAATGCAGTGATATGATGTCTAGTGGTGGAAGTGGAACATTGCAGATGTAAAATAAGTACACAAGCAGTTGGAACCCTGTAGGAACCCACATTGGTTGCGTTTGGGCGACAGTGAAATGACAGAAAACGTGTGGAAGTGTTCTCGAATGCAACGATGTTGTCTGCCACCCAACCGAAACCGTCACAGGACACAGTCGTATATACAAAATCTCCAAATAGCAAGCTGTCTGTTGTCCTCAATACTTGAAAAACATTTGTAGAATTCTGTCGTGTCTTATGCACGAAATGTTTCGCCACACATCCTTTGATTATTGCAGTAACCGCAATTTTGCACTTTGTAACCTACATTTGTACATATAATTACTTACATATGCCTACCGACAATGACTGTTTCAATCAAAGGGGATTTATTGTGATTTGATAACCCCTGATTGACCAATCAATCAGAATCGACAGACTTAACCAGGTATCTTGATAACAAGACATGTTATTATATCTGATAGCCCACACGAATTAGAATTAGAAATCGATAAAGAACATTTTTACACATCAGGAGGGGCACGCCAAGAATTCCCTTATATCGCATGTGTCAACAGAATTAAAGAAGGTGCCTTGTCTGGGCTATGTAGTGGATAAGGTGTCGGTGTTGGTGATAATATGACTGCCGACATAGCTAGGTATCTTCTGTTATTCCACATCAGTACATCCTAGTCGGGTTGTATGCCCGCTTGTTGGCGTTCTTCATGTTGTCAGTGACTTGTTCAGCCTTGGCGAGTCACAGGCCGCCATGACAAAGGAATACTGTTGACTGGTATTACTGTAAATCTTGAAATTCATACGACTGCTGACCCCTAGCCAAAAACTGCGACTTAAACTCAATGCGACTCCTCCGACACCATCCCCAGTGGAATGATACATATCCTTACCTTAATCCTATCAAACAGCAAATAGCACTGCTTATTAGCACTGAGTAAAGGACTTCTGTAATAACAATAAACAGTGTTTTCACAGTTTATGTTTTTATATGACATTAAGGAAGTTCAAAGGGAATATGATAATTAAACCAACAACAGTTCACTGGTTGAAGTTGTCAGTGATGCCTCGTTTGACACGTGTGGGCATCACTGGATGCCTATTGTATTCTTAAATGACATACTTGTACCAACAGCTGCTCAATAAACCGTGTTTGTGTATAGATTCAAGTTTGCATTTCCGCTATCCAAAGTGTGCAATGAGGCCGTCTTGTTGTTGATAGTCAATTTGGAGACATAAATGCGAAGTTTCATAAATGCTAACAAAGACCACTCGCATTTTTCGCATTTACTTTACAGAATTTACAGAATATGACGTCTCAGAAAGCCACTTGGGATAAGTGGTATCAAACAATGTGTGATCTAATTCCAATACAGTCGCAGAGGTGACCTGTTTGGGCTGCCCATTTAAAAAACGTATAGGTGTTGGTATAGGAATAGGTATGACGGAAGAAAAAACAGGGTATCTTCCGGTATTCAAGATCAGAGATGGCCCTCAGTGCCTCGTGCTTCTCGTGAGACGAGCTGTCAGGCTTTGTGGCTGATGGCGTGACATCTTCCCCACAGGCGCGGATCGTTCCTCATGTTTTCATAATAATAATAATAATTCCACACTACACAGGGGCATGCTCAAAGCGCTCCTATTGCCCCGGTCACTTGATCAGTGTGCACTCACCAATCACACCATCTCCCTGGGGAGTATACACCCCAAGCTGCCTGTTAGGCGCTAAAAGGTTAACAACCACATTGCCATCTCATACTACCGGGTACCCATTTACTGCTTGGTGAACAGAGGCACATTTCGAACAAAGTTACTTGTCAAAGGAGACACCACCACATGTGCTTCAGTGTGGGGCGGAAACTTGCTTGCCTGGGTCAACCTCGATTGCTGACAAAGTTGGAATATTGTTGACTGATACTGACGGAGGTGCACTGCGTGTTACAATTCAGTGCGTTGTGATGACGGTTGTGACAGAATATTGTGTAAGAAATGTATGTTATTTGTGGACACATAAAATGAGAATACTGCCAGGAACAGTTTTCAATTTTTTATTGAGAAATAAACATCATCAAAACATATAGTATATCAAAATAAAAACACTTGGTATATATTGAGCACTTTTTTCACAAGACCACGTTACATCATTGTCCAACGTGACATACAATACCCAAATTTCTGAGCAATAAAGTTAGTAATGCTGGTTGCCAAGGGAACGACAACCCTCGGAACACATCTGGGTGGGACAGTTACCCTGGGCACAGTTCGTCTTGCACCACGTGACCATCCGGCTATTTCCTGCCCAGAGTCCGGTAGCTGAGCACCCGGATGTAGCCCCGCCAGATGGCGCCACAAAGACAGTTTGCGCCTGACTGTTAGACGAGAGTATCGCGACGTCTGCGCAGCCGTAGAACTGTTCCTGAGGTCCACACCCAACACAGCAGTGACCACTTGCTTCACATCCCCAAGAGTTGCCTGGTCAAATTGAAGGTGCATCTACAGTTGCATGTTATGTGTCGTCAAGCCGACTCAACAACAACAATGATATTGATGTACTTAAGACCGACCTGATTTGTTTTGTTCCTCTGAAGCGAATTATTGGAATAGAAGTAAAAAAAACTCACCTCAGATGTGTTCAATATTATCGACAAACCCTTTCTATATTCATACAACCGACTTGATTTGTTTTGTTCATATAAAGCAAATTACAGTAAACTACGGTTATAACGAACTAAAAGGGACCACTCATTTTAAGCATATATATAGCCTATATCCAGCAAATGATGGGGCCAAAAAACTGTTCGTAATATCTGTCAGTTCGGTATAAGCGTGTTCGTTATAAACGTAGTTTACTGTATTGGATTAGAAGTAAAAGCCTCAGATCTACCACTGCTCCAGTGCATCATGTTTTTTCTTGTGCATTAAGGTACTTATTTACTGCTAGATTGATTTGACATCTGTGTTAACAGACAATCAAAGTTTTATATGACTTGAATCAATCATGCAGGGATCTCAATTCAAGAATACAAATAATTCTTTCATGAAATTCTTGATATATTTTTGTTCATGTTAATTTTACCATTGTGAGACTGTTGTTTGTACATGTCCATAGACATGTCATTAATTCAACAGAAGAGAAGCAGATACCTATACGGAAAAACATAAATACATACAGTTCATGTTAAATCAGTTAACTTACCAGCGTTGTATTTCCACTGCAGGACACACTGAGAACACGTCACATCCGCCGGAAGTATGACCTCCATGTTGTATTTGCCCTCACGTGACGTGGTGACGTAGAAGCGCGTGCTACCGTCAGGGTGTTTCAGAACATGTGTGTCGAGACACTGCTGGGTGACGGGGGTGGAGGGGTTGTTGTGGGGGCAAAGACGGAACTCAAAATAACCTGAAGTAACGAGAAGGACATGTATAAACCTTGACTCTACTGTGAAAAACTGTTAGTAACAAATACAGTTTTAGCTGTGTTACTGTATTGTATGTAACGTCAATGCATTATATAATGCTGATAATGAACACGGCCTTCATGTATGTAATGGTAGTGAGTAAATGAGTGAGTTGGGTTTAACGCCGCTTTTAACAATATTCCAGTTATATCACGGCGTATCAGCTTAATGTGGGAGATAAACCCGAAGTGATGCAGGTCTTAGACGTTTACCACTTCGGTGAAACCCACGAGCACGGGTATGGTGCTGACAAACCTAGAACCATAATCGGGGCGAACCGGGATTCGAACCCATAATCATAGGTTCCTGGCATGCTCAAGGGGCGCAACTCTGCACAGCGAATTGCGGCGCCTTAGACGACTGGGCCACTCGTGCCCCTGTTAAGGTAGTGGGTAACATGGTACTGGCTACTGGTCATAGTACTTTGTTATGTTAATAGCTAGAACTCGAGAATAGTTGTAATGCTCTGATTCAGACCTGCTAGGGCTGCACATCATTAGCCTTATCCTAGTTCCTATTGAAGAGGATGAAAACAAACCTATTCACAAAAATCATTTTGCGAAAATGTCCAGAGCTTCGATTGTGATATCCTTATGAAAATAAGGAAAGGAAACTTACCTCTATGGTTGGCGGTCAGATCAATGTCAATTTGGATTGTCTCCCCTTGGTTGTACTTCCGGACGATGATGCCTTTTGCGTACTTCCCTCCAGCCTCGTTCTCGCGCACCCCGTCCCAGGGATCTCCGCACACACCGCACTTCCCCTTGTTCTGTTCCCACTGTCTCTGTAATGGAAGTCATGGTGAACATGGTGTCATATTTTACAGGTTTGTGTCCTTTAGCGAGATGACCAATTTCATAATCTAGAAACATTCTACACATACGTGGCTAAAATACATCTTCGACTGGGCATTCAGTCACACACGTAAAGATAGAACATTATAATTTGTCCCGGTACTTTCTAAAACATAACCTGACGTTTACCTGCCAGTAAAATCATTGATAGAATCCACTGAATTCACATGTATATGCATATTGTTACTGAACTGTGTCTACATCAATAATAAAGTGACATCACCCTTCCCACAATCAGGAGAAAGTTCAGTGTTTCCCACTTTATAATAAACATGTTTTTATTATTTACCAAATAGTGAATGCGGATGATACAAGGTGCTTGCAAAAAGGTGAGTGAATCCTGTCCTACCTGTGTCACCCGTCACTAATACATGCGACCCGTGAAGATCCGGGGTAGAATAGGTCTTCAGAAACCCATGCTTGCCATAAAAGGCGACTATGCTTGTCGTAAGAGGCGACTAACAGGATCGGGTGGTCACGCTCGCTGACTTGGTTGATGCATGTCATATTTTCCCAATTGCGTGGATCGATACTCATGACATCAATCACTCGATTGTCTGGTGCACACCCGATTACTTACAGACCGCCGTCATATAGCTGGAATATTGCTGAGTGTGGCGTTAAACAGCAAACAAACAAATAAAACTTACACATGCAAAAACAAAAATATCTCGAACAGGTCGGAAGTTCTTCAAGTAACACGTATGCTGCTGCATTTCTGCCCGAATATCATTTAGCTCACCTGGTAACCGCCGCAAAAGAGCTGGTTGTCGTTGTAGTTTGGTGGGGTATTGAAACCAAGCCTCCACATACTTGCTCGAGAGGGGGGTTCCAGCAGACGCCCGTGTCCCCCCACCATGGAGGGGAGGAGCAGGAGGGACGCCCACAGCACGAGCTGAGCTGCAGCACGAATTTCAAACCAAACCATGTTTGGGGTTCAATGTAGGATCGTTACTGCCCTGCCGCCTGTGCTTCTTCGCCTGATAGGCAGGTCTGATGTGTGGAATGATCGACTTTGACTTGTCGTCTGCTTGTTTGGAGTTTAATGCCCTGTCGCCTGTTTTTTTCCAAATGTCGTCTGCTGATCACGTTGACTGTCGTCTGCTTGATCAAAATGTCGCTGACGTCTGATGATTCTGAGTCTCCAAGTAAATAACTGACTTTCAGTCTTACAGGTTCTGGTGTGATTCTGTTCCTGTCTGACTTCCAAGTGATCTGGGGTAGCTATATACCCCAGCCTCACCCACGTGTCTCATTGTTATCAAAACTGAAAGCTTCAAGAAGAAACGTGTTTTTCCTGAATAGTGAGTCATTCGTGATGTCATAAAAACAAGCTTGACCTCACAGCAACCTACCAGATAAACTCTGCGGCCAATACGGTCAGTTCATCCACCCCTCCTCCTATACCCCCTAACCCCCATAAGCAAATACCCTACAACACCCTCCTCCCCCGTCTCTCATCCACCAGCATCACAACATGCCTCCGTGTGCCTGCCTCGGTCACTACACTGGACATAGCAACGCCACCTCCCGGATCCAATTAAGTGGACAGCGTTGCGACCAGTATCTGTTATCTATTTTGTTGATGTCACAATGTCCAACTCTGAGCAAACCTCAGCCATGCAGGGATGTCCTCAAAGCAAGGACTTTACACATCACTGTTCTGTTACTTGCTGACATTAGCTAGTCTTATTATATTTATAGATTTATTTCGTTTTTTGAAGAATGTACGTATGAAGCAATGTACTCATTCTCTCACCAACGACACGCATTGCATTTTAGTTCATCAAAATATGTGGATAACAAGAAAGAAACCGGATCTATCCATATGAATTGAGAAACATGTTCGCCTGAACCATAATTTATCTCGTGACCACAGCAATGGAATTAATGGTTTCTCATGAACAATGTACAGTCAAAGAAAATATTATCAGATATGTGTTCAGCTGCACTAGTTTAAACTAACAAAGTATGACATACAAAGTGATAACGTAATGGGATCATTTATAGGGACATTTACAGTGATTCCCGGGTTTACATTAAGTTGTCTTGTGTACGATTTGTGTCAACACATTCAGAGCAACTTGAAATCAGAACTGCTTAAAAACAGAGGCTTGAAATGTACTTATCTACCCGGAAAATGTGTTTGTTATATATGTATATACTACTTGTTATATATGTATATATTACTTGTGATATATGTATATACTACTTGTTATATATGTATATACTACTTGTTATGTCTGTATATACTACGTGTTATATATGTATATACTACTTGTTATGTCTGTATATACTACTTGTTATATATGTATATACTACTTGTTATGTATGTATATACTACTTGTTATATATGTATGTACTACTTGTTATGTCTGTATATACTACTTGTTATATATGTATATACTACTAGTTATATATGTATATACTACTTGTTATATATGTATATACTACTTGTTATATATGTATATACTACTTGTGATATATGTATATACTACTTGTTATATATGTATATACTACTTGTTATGTCTGTATATACTACGTGTTATATATGTATATACTACTTGTTATGTCTGTATATACTACTTGTTATATATGTATATACTACTTGTTATGTCTGTATATACTACGTGATATATATGTATATACTACTTGTTATGTCTGTATATACTACTTGTTATATATGTATATACTACTTGTTATGTATGTATATACTACTTGTTATATATGTTTATACTACTTGTTATGTCTGTATATACTACTTGTTATATATGTATATACTACTTGTTATATATGTATATACTACTTGTTATGTATGTATATACTAATTGTTATATATGTATATACTACTTGTTTTGTATGTATATACTACTTGTTATATATGTATATACTACTTGTTATGTATGTATATACTACTTGTTATAGATGTATATACTACTTGTTATAGATGTATATACTACTTGTTATGTATGTATATACTACTTGTTATATATGTATATACTACTTGTTATAGATGTGTGTACAAACCATGACAGAAACACCGAGAATCATATGTAGGGCTTTAAAGGAGAATCTGTGGCATAAATACTTGTTTTATAGAATTATTAAGATCTATAATGTTTAATAACATATTAAGACCTATAATGTTTAATAAAATGGAAAGATCTATTATGTTTAATAAAATTTTAGGGTCTCATTCATTAACAATCATCTTCCCGAGGCAAGGTGTTAAGTGATTTTTAAGTCCAGTTTCCACCCTTGCCGAACTAGGCTTGAATTTCCAGGCTCGATCGTAGCACCATGCGTTATGGCCCTTTCATTGCCTTCATTTGGCCAGTCAGATTCCATCTCTCATAGTACTTGCATTTGCTTCAAACAAAATGGCGACGCCCAGTCAAGACGTTTTGTTCGATAGTCAAGGCCTACATTGTAACAACACGGGTCTTACCCCACAAAGTGCATCAAATCACGTAAGCACCTCCGTTAAAAGCGTGAAAGAATTTGCAAAATATCTGTCGAGCCCCAGTTGGCGGTACACATGCTTTGCAAATCCTGCAGTCGACCAAAATCTGCACATTGAAATCCATGTTATTTACGAACCGGATTCTAGTTCGTTACGCGATTTTGATTGGACTATGTATAGACTCGTTGATCCAGCCAAAATGTAACTCCATAATTGCAGCCTATTTCGGCAAGGGTGGAAACTGGACTTTTACAGTCAGTTAAATCCCTTGCCTCGGGAAGATGATGAACAATGTGCGTCAACGTAACCTTGGCATTGTCTGGTAGTTTTCTTTTCTATTTGTTTGTTTGTTCTTTAACGCCGCACTCAGCAACATTCCAGCTATATGACGGCGGTCTGTAGATAATCGAGTCTGGACCAGACAATCCAGTGATTGGCATCATGAGCATCGATCCTCGCAATTGGGATACGATGACACGCCTCAACCAAGCCAGCGGGCCTGACCACCCGATCCCGTTAGTCGCCTTTTACGACAAGCATAGTTGCCTTTTATGGCAAGCATGGGTTGCTGAAGACCTGTTCTACCCCGGACCTCCACGGACCTCCACTTTTGTAAGCTCACCTGCGGAAAGAACAATTTTGAAGCTCCCCTGATAGTAGAACATGATTCATGGCATTGCCTTACAGGTGATAACTCATCCAAGCCCGGATCCTCATGGGGTCTTGAAGGCAATGGAGCATGTGCGTTTCATAGTGTTTCAGTGATTGATATTAATGATGACCCACGACGTCAGCATACGATAAAGCGAATCAGGGATCATTTCCGATCCATTTAGATGCCTGAAGTCATTAAGTTGCCGGGGCTCGTTGTCCGTGAGTCATCAATGGGCATGTTATGGGGGGGGGAATACATCTGTGAGGAAATAAGTGCATGTTGTTTTACGCCCAGTCCGCAATACACCCAGACAGTCGGTGTTTATCTGTGTTTATACTCTCACCCCTTGTCTGGCCGAGTCATTTATTTACTGATATAACTGAATTAAAGCTCACTTTGACCTAGAAACAACGTAATCACAACTTATTATATATTTCAGTGTGAAAGACGGAGTTTTCTGAATTTGAGAAAAAGTGATATTTTCATTGCAGTCAACCTAACACTTTAACGGAACTATTGTCATACACGAGTTACCTCGCAAAATGTCTCCCTTTATCGTAAGTGTCTGGCCCTGACACAAACAGTTTATTTCTTCATTCCACATTGACAAGGCAAGATAATGACAGATGGTCGTTTGTTATTGAGTTAATATAGCTTCATACCGTTTGTTATATTCTTGAAAATGTTTCGTTATAAACTGTAAATTTCTCGACAATCGAGAAACACGACATTTCACTCCATACATGAAATATCCTCCATATCATGTTGACTTGACGTCACTTATTTGTCTCGTCTCAATTGGACATTTATAACCCAAAATATTAGGTTGTAAGGTGTGATCACTCAATGATTCATAAATTTAATACATGTGTCAAAAGTGGGTGTACATCATTTTACAAACTGATTTTCAATGATGCATTCATAAAATCGTCACCACTGTTTTGCCTTTTTACGGCCAATGAAATTTGTTGCGGCAGTTATTCGGGGCTTATATTTCGCTGGCGTTGACGGTGACGTTGACGCTGACGTTAGCGTTGACGCTGACGTTGACAGTGACGTTGGCACTGGCGGTAACGCTGGCGTTGACGTTGACGCTGACGTTGAGGATGACGTTTGAGATGCGAGACACGAGACACGTGAGAAGTGATGCAGGTCTAAGACGTTTACCTTTTTGGTGAAACCCCCGAGCATGGATGTTGTGGTGACAAGAGGAGAAACATGGTCATCAATATATTGAGATTTTTTTCTTCTTAAAATTGCTAGTGTTACATTTTGGCTGAACACGGAAACGAAATTCTCAAAGTTCTTTCTTTAGATTAACATGTGTCCAAAAGTGCATTTTAAAACAATTATTATTATTAAGTACAAACTTATAGTCATATCAGTAACTTCCAGTTTTGTTAAGACATATACTTTTGCCTTTGTACTTATAATCAGGTGATCTACAGAACCAGGGACAATACCTGGACATCGTGAAAATAGACATAGATACTTATGGGAGCCTAGCAACGTAAACAAGCTGAGAACATAAAATATATTTTCGAAGTGTGATTTTCTATATGTGCTTTCTGTCGCTACTCTCCATACCAGCAGTGCAGGATGACACATCAGTCGACCAGGTCAGCGACCAGGACCAGCATGCTTCATACACCTGGGGCCTTTCTTCTTAGGTGTTTGCTGGTAAACAAATAAACCAGCAAATAAGCATGACGATCAAATCACGTGTTTTACTGCACGTGCTTCCTGCCATGTGACTTCCTGTTTACCACAAATAAACATTAAAACAGCAACAGGCTTCCTTGGCGAGTGTTTACGTGCACAGTCCGACGGTCGGTCAATCTTCAAACCATATAAAGTCATAACCATAAATATTTGATGTTTTACCTTTGAAATTTATAGGCAGCTTACATAAATTATCATCTGGCATGTGTCATTTTGTTCAATTTGAATTAACAGGTCAATACCTCCTCGCTTTACTTTTCACGTAGACGTTCCTTGACGGCCATGCCACCGTAGCCTATTTGTAATATATGCAAAGAAAAAGGTTAAGAACACCCCAATATATTTCATTATTGTTTGGTCCCAAAATTTGTAACAAT